AAAAACCTTTTATACATAAGGAAAAACAATCTTCATGAACTGGTTTATTTATTAAATTTTGATTTGTAGCGAATTAAAGTCTGATGTCAAAATGTGGGGAATATAACAAATCACAACTTGGCCGTTTTTGCCTGAATGTGAATATTCACAGAGTTATTCATAACATATGGAGACCAGGTTATAGGACCTATCTGTGATAAAAGAGGCGCTTACAGGCACAGAATGAATAATAGAAAGATACATATAATAAGCTGCTACAACACTTTGGTTGGTTCATTCCACACTACACCAGAAATGTACAAAAAAGATCTTATACTGTGTGACCTGATAACTAGACTTCAACACCAGTAAATAAATGTGAACGCTTGCTGGTAAGTATATACTATCACTACGCTATCACTGACCTTTTATATGCACTGGGTGTACAGGTACAATTGGCTCAGTCACCCAGGGAAGCTTTCTATTACCGTGGTATTGGCCTCTTTTCTGTCTTCAGGACTGTGGTATTAAAGGACCACTCTAGGGACCCAGACCACTTCAGCTTAATGAAGTGGTCTGGGTGCCAGGTCCTTCTAGGGTTAATCCATTCTTTTATAAACATAGCAGTTTCTGAGAAACTGCTATGTTTATGAATGGGTTAAGCCTTCCCCCAAATCCTCTAGTGGCTGTCTCATTGACAGCCGCTAGAGGCGCTTGCGTGCTTCTCACTGTGATTTTCACAGTGAAAGCACGCCAGCGTCCATAAGAAAGCATTGATAATGCTTTCCTATGCGACCGGCTGAATGCGCGCGCAGCTCTTGCCGCGCGTGCGCATTCAGCCGACGGGGAGGAGAGGAGGAGGATCGGAGAGCTCCCAACCAGCACTGGAAAAAGGTAAGTTTTAAGCCTTTTCCCCTTTCCAGAGCCGGGCGGGAGGGGGATCCTGAGGGTGGGGGCACCCTCAGGGCACTATAGTGCCAGGAAAACAAGTATGTTTTCCTGGCACTATAGTGGTCCTTTAACTATTACGGTAGACTCTTTTGTAAAATGTATCATTGCATTATCTGCAATCTTTTTGTAAAATGCATCATTGCATTATCAGCTCTTTTTTGTAAGTTGCATCACTGCGTTATCAGCACTCTATTTGTAAATTACATCATTGCTTATTAGCACTCTTTTTGTAAAATGCATCATTGCATTATCAGCACTCGATTTGTAAAATGCATCATTGCATTATCAGCACTTGTTTTGTAAAAAGCATCATATCATTATTAGCCTTCTTTTTGTAAATGGCATCACTGCATTATCAGCACTCTTTTTGTAAATTGCATCATTGCATTATCAGCACTCTTTTTGTAAAATGCATCATTGCATTATCGGCACTCGTTTTGTAAAATGCATCACTGCATTGTCAGCACTCTTTTTGTAAAATGCATCATTGCATGATCAGCACTCTTTTTGTAAATTGCATCATTTCTCCTCCTTGTGACCTATCTGTTATAAGGAAGCCTAATGTAATTTAGTCTTTAATCTAAATTACTAACGTACTTACCTGAGGTGGTAAAACATACTAACCAGCCATGGAGACAGAGGAGCAGCTGCAGACCTGAATTTCAGCAGCGTAAAGGGCTTCCATCTGTACCCCATATGTCATTTGTCATCACCAGAAGGGGATGGTTTTAAACAAACCCTTGACATAGTGGAATACATAAAAGAGGCATGACCAGGTGGTCACTGTGGAAGTGCTGTTTCATGAGTCTTCAGGGTTAAGAGGCTGAACCCTGGTTTGGCCTCATGTATGCAGTGGACCACTATCATCCCCTGAGGGAGAGAGTTAGGTCAGACCGCCCGTTCACTAAAGAAGGTACCCAGGCTGGCGACTCATAGATATACGGTGTTGTTGTGTCTTCAGGGATAAGAGGCTGAACCCTGGCAGGGCTACAAAACAATTGGCCTGGTGAGCATAAAAACAAAAAAATATAGGGCTGCTTAACCCCTTAAGGACACATGATATGTGTGACATGTCATGATTCCCTTTTATTCCAGAAGTTTGGTCCTTAAGGGATTAAGCAGACTCCTTCCAAACTGCTGTGAAGGACAGGAAAAATATCACGTGCTGTTTTGAAGTATTAAATATTATGTGTCCACGGATTCCACATTGATGTGGACACTCTAAAACAAAAAACACTTCTTTGTCATGAAGTGGTTTTGGTCCGAAGATCCAGTCCCTTTTATTCTGTAGTTGAACGACTTATTTGATTTTTAGGGTCATACATTTCTTTGCTGAGCTACAAAATAAAAATATAAATAAAGAAAAAAAAAAAGATTTTAATCTATGTATATTCAAGTATGTATATTATTTTATATTTAACTCCCATCTTGTGAAGTGGGTTTAAGTCTTGCTTAAATGTGCCTTCTACAAGTATTGTAAAATCGGTAACTGAGAGAATAGACAGTCAGTCATATGTGGCCTTGTGTTTCGTGACATGTTTCTGATGTTGTTAAAAAATAGATAAATAACCATACGTTGGATGAGAAAATCGTGCGCTTGCTGTTGTATTTGGACTGGATTTTTACTCCCCTCAGGACTTCAGAGAAAGGAATTTTCTTTTGATAATTACTATCCCTCCTGAACTGAAGATTATTGTTCCCACCTTGCGTTGCCTTGACAAGCCTGACATTATTTGTCGAGAGTTGTTGACAGCTACACAGGTTCAAGCCATTCTACAGTATCTGTCTGACACAAGCATATCACACAAACATGTCGTAAATCTTTGTGCCCTACTACTGTGTATAAGACAGAAGAACGATTTTAAAGCTTACGTGTTTTCTAACCTTTAGAAAAGCAGTTTTTGAAATTTTTGTAATTTTAGTTTTTTTAGACACAGAAGTATAAAGTGCCCATGGCACATTGATAGAATTTTAAGTCACCGTTCAGAATAGGGTGGAGGTTGTTGCGGTGCTATTTGGGAGGACAGAGTGGGATATTTGGTTAAATGAAAGAAAAGGTACTGCATTATGAGTAAAGGTGTGATGCATAAACTAGATTAAACTAGACACTTAAAGCTATTGTATGGGATGTAATTTGTGTGTTTAGGGAATGTAGCGTACATGTATATGGAATTCAGTGTGTATAGTGGATGGTGTGTGTGTGTGTGCGTGCGTGTGCATATGTATGTATATATGTAAATTGGATAAGCCGTATTAGTCCAGTAGACAAGATGCCAAAATACCAGAGTAATGAAGTATGCAATGATACCTTTTTTATTGGACTAACATAATATTTCAAAAACAAGCTTTTGAGAGTTTTACTCTCTTCCTCAGTTCTGAAGCAATACTGATCAATCTGGTAGAGTTTAACACTTAAAACAACTGATGTTAGAGAAGGGGTGGGGGGGTGGAGGGGGAGGGAGTGAGTGGGGTGTCATAAATAGCAGAAGATGTGCCTGAAAGTGAAAGGTGCAGGTTGGCTGAGCCAGTAAATAGCCAGTAAATAAACAGAGGAGAGTCAATAATCAAGTTAAAAAGAAAAAAACAACAAGAAAGCAGCAGGGCAAGGCATGCAAGTATATAGCTGCATATATGTATGTATATAAATTGATCCAATAAAGGCGAAACAAGAATACTGAAAAAGAACTATATAAGACACTAAGATGTGTTTATATAAAGGTTTGATAGTGTGTTAGAAAGCCAGAATCTACATTAAGTCCTTCGTTAATGGTGTTGAAATGTGTGATCATTTTCATCCCAAATGTCTTTCGTTCATGAGAGTCAGTGCATACAGTGTGTGTAAGCGATCAATATGTGAGTATAGTGCATACAGTGTGTGTAAGCGATCAATATGTGTGTATAGTGCATACAGTGTGTGTAAGCGATCAATATGTGTGTATAGTGCATACATTGTGTGTAAGCGATCAATATGTGAGTATAGTGCATACAGTGTGTGTAAGCGATCAATATGTGAGTATAGTGCATACAGTGTGTGTAACCAATCAATATGTGTGTATAGTGCATACAGTGTGTGTAAGTGATCAATATGTGTGTATAGTGCATACATTGTGTGTAAGCGATCAATATGTGAGTATAGTGCATACAGTGTGTGTAAGCGATCAATATGTGTGTATAGTGCATACATTGTGTGTAAGCGATCAATATGTGAGTATAGTGCATACAGTGTGTGTAAGCGACCAATATGTGAGTATAGTGCATACAGTGTGTGTAACCAATCAATATGTGTGTATAGTGCATACAGTGTGTGTAACCAATCAATATGTGTGTATAGTGCATACAGTGTGTGTAAGCGATCAATATGTGGGTATAGTGCATACAGTGTGTGTAAGCGATCAATATGTGAGTATAGTGCATACAGTGTGTGTACGCGATCAATATGTGAGTATAGTGCACACAGTGTGTGTAACCGATCAATATGTGAGTATAGTGAATACAGTGTGTGTAACCAATCAATATGTGTGTATAGTGCATACAGTGTGTGTAACCAATCAATATGTGTGTATAGTGCATACAGTGTGTGTAAGCGATCAATATGTGGGTATAGTGCATACAGTGTGTGTAAGCGATCAATATGTGAGTATAGTGCATACAGTGTGTGTACGCGATCAATATGTGAGTATAGTGCACACAGTGTGTGTAACCAATCAATATGTGAGTATAGTGCATACAGTGTGTGTAACCGATCAATATGTGAGTATAGTGAATACAGTGTGTGTAACCAATCAATATGTGTGTATAGTGCATACAGTGTGTGTAACCAATCAATATGTGTGTATAGTGCATACAGTGTGTGTAAGCGATCAATATGTGTGTATAGTGCATACAGTGTGTGTAAGCGATCAATATGTGAGTATAGTGCATACAGTGTGTGTACGTGATCAATATGTGAGTATAGTGCACACAGTGTGTGTAAGCGATCAATATGTGAGTATGGTGCACACAGTGTGTGTAAGTGATCAATATGTGTGTAAGGTGCATACAGTGTGTGTAAGCGATCAATATGTGTGTATAGTGCATACAGTGTGTGTAAGCGATCGATATGTGAGTATAGTGCATACAGTGTGTGTAAGCGATCAGTATGTGAGTATAGTGCATACAGTGTGTGTAAGCGATCAGTATGTGTGTATAGTGCATACAGTGTGTGTAAGCGATCAATATGTGAGTATAGTGCATACAGTGTGTGTTTTTGTGTGGGATAGGTGCTGTGATCTGTGGGAGTCAGAGGAGCAGTTTTATTTTTCTTATTTTACCTCTGGCCAGAGACATTCCATGATGGTTCTGTGACCCTGTTTTCAGTCTGCCAGGTGCCCAGGTGTCTGGTTCCCTTGCCATACAAATGTGCAATGGCCTGGGAGGGAAATCTTTGATCAATCTTCCCATTACTGTATATGTGTATAAACATATAATTGTCCACACACATTCGCAATATGTGGTACAGGTGTATAGTCTGTACCCAGGGCCGGCCCGTCCGTAACCTGTGGTGGAGCCACAGCTCCAGATGGCACTCTATCAATGGCGGGTTGGTGGCTCTCTAAATAGGTGAGTTAGGGAGCGGCCTAAAGCCTCGTGGCCACATAATTCGCCATAGGGCAGGTCAGGTCCTTGGTTCCTCACTGAGGACCTGACACCAGGTATGGGCCCCGTGGCTTGCCAGGGTGTGAGCTGCAGACTGTGCAGTGTCTCGCGATCTCTGGCCAATAAGAGCGTTAGATTAGAGAGACAGCCCACCGGACCACCAGGGATCAAATACACTGGACCACCAGGAAAAGAAGTAAAGGTATTTTTAAAATACAATACCCTCCCTCACTGTCACCCCCCCTGCCACCCCCTCCCTTACTGTGTCACCCTATCCCTATTGTGTCACCTAATCCCTCCCTCAGACACACTCTTTCACCTGCCACCTACTTCTTCCCTCAGTCACTCTGCCACCCCCTCCCTTACTATGTCACCCCCTCCCTTACTGTGTCACTCCCTCCCTCAGTCACTCTACCACCTGTCAACCCCTCCCTCACTCTGCCACTCCCTCCCTCCATCACTCTGCTATCCCTCAGTCACTCTGCCACCTGTCACACACTCTGTCACCTGTGTCACCCCCTACCTCCCTCAGTCACATTGCCACCCACTCTGTCACCCCCTCAGTCACTCTGTCACCTGTTACCTGTGTCACCCCCTACCTCCCTCAGTCACTTTGCCACCCACTCTGTCACCCCCTCAGTCACTCTGCCACCTGTCACCCTCTCCCTCAATCACTCTGCCACCTGTTTCACCCCTCCCTCCGTCACTCTGCCACCCACTCTCTCACCCCCTCAGTCACTATCACCCACGCCCTCACTGTGTCACCCCCTCCCTCGTTCAGTCTGCCACCTGTCACCCCATCTCTCACTGTGTCAACCCCTCCCTCAGTCACTCTGTTAATGTGTTGATGTGCAGGATGGGGGAACAAACGAGAACAGGTCTCTGGTTTCTCTAAAGTCAGAACTGCCAACACATGCATTACCTTCCACTAGTGAAAACAAAACTGAAGACAAACCTGGAATCCATTTAAATTGCGGTCTATTATTTTATATATGTTTTACATTGATTAGATTTGTCCAGGTGGAGACTTGTAAATGTTGCCTTTGAGATCGAATGGCAGTCCAGGCATTATAATTATCCCTCTCCCGGCATACCATCTGCAAAAGTAGACAATCCAGGGTATTCAAAATGGAGTATATTCAGTTTTTTTTTAGTATCCACTTAATCACAAACCCTGGCCAAATTTAGTGTTCATATTTGTCTTATGCATTTTTCATACAAATCTACAGGTTCATTGATGAAATCATTGTCACTCTACATTTTACTTCTCTAAAACACTCATATTTGTGTTCAGCGATGTCTTACGAGTACAGTAGTACCTCCCACGTACAGGTTTTTATGGGGTTTTGGAAACTTACAGGGTTAAATATAGGGCTTGACCATTTAAGTTTTTTTACATGTTGAAATTTGCCAGATTGGTTTGCTGGGCCCATGTTGCCTCTGAAGCCATATGGTGGCCCAGGAGTAAGACTTACCCCCATTATGGCATACCAGGATATTCAAAAAGGGATATGTCTCGTAGTGGTAGAAGCCTATGGGGTAAAAAGCCCACCTTTTGTAAGATGGACATAGCATGCCCGTCGTCATTAAGATGTTAAATAAAAAAAATAAAAAATAAAAAAAAGAGTCTGTACTTGCACAGGTAGTGTCATAAAATCCTGCTCTGTATTCCATAACACTGTTATTCCATTTGCTCAGGTAAGTGTAAAGTACTTGGAGGCTTGGGTCCAATAGGTCAACCTTTCTTGATGCATGCCTAATCACTATAGAATATAGAACAGGTTAAAGAGTGGCTGTACCAGTCACTCAACACATTACAACAGGTTATATGACACACCTGTCTCTGTTGCATTTATCTTTTACCCCAAAGCACGTATCCTGACTAGTGACAGTTTGCTTTATTTTAAAGTATGCTTTTATGAATAGATTTCATATTTAGAAAAATACTTTTTTCTTAAATTCTCATACAAAATACCCCAACATGTCTCATGTATCTCCTGTATGCTTCTGTGATTAATTACTCAATAATTAAGTGTCCTATAAATAAGAACTTGGATGTGGCAATACTATTAAATGGGTGTGCTCACCTTTATATATAGATAAATAAGGAACATTAGACGTAAAGGGGAAGCATCAATAATAATAATAAGTTTACTACGTTTCTAGAACAGATATTTGGGGTTTAAATTTTAAAATTTGAATTCCAAAATATTCCCACTTTATTAGATAAACCTGATAAGAGTGACAGTGCCTAAACATTATGTCCAATTTAAATCAAAACAAAAAGGCAGATTCCCCTCCTTGCTGCAGATAACAGCTGCACATGCTCGAGTCATCTGACGAATGCAAAAAAGAGGAGATTGATTCTCATTAATACAGGATGCACAGCTCTATAAGGCCCTCCCTCTAGATATTAGGACAACGGAGAAACATCAAACATTTCAGAAAAAGTTGAAGACATGGATCTTTTACAGGTTTTTTTTTTTTTTTAAGTTTCTTTGTGCATAGAAGCCAAGATTGCTATGTGTGTATCCCCCAAAATGACAGACCTCTCGCCACCAAGATATAGTTTGCGCCAAAGACCACTTCCTTCAGATGGCTATGGATACTTTTGGCAAGTTAACTGGTGTGCTAATTTGTGCAAATCAAAACACGTACAAGCCAAGAAAATATGTATAGACACCCAGGTAAATGCAAAACAAAAATCAGACTGAGGACATTTGTAAGTTATAGGTATCTGTTAAATCATGAGATAACTTCAGGTGTTTTCAGCAAATGTCAGTAGTCCAATTAGACAGATATTAATCACGGGCTCTCATTTGTTTTAAGGTAGACACAGGTTTAAATTTAGGTGTTAGATTCTGAAAAACAGACTTTACCTGAGCAAAGGAAATGGCAACAAAATGGAACATAACCTCTAGCCTACAACATTGACTTTTAGGCACAATATCAAACCTGATTGTTTTAAGATTCTAAAGTCTATCCTTCCTATGAATGTTACTAGATGCTTAGCATATAAACTGCCATTATATTAAAATAGGATCGCGGAGAGTCATTTTCCCATATGATTCAATGTTGCCATTTCCGATCAATTAGCACTTACTTGCATATAAGAAATAGCATTAAAGGACCACTCTAGGCACCCAGACCACTTCAGCTTAATGAAGTGGTCTGGGTGCCACGTCCAGCTAGGGTTAACCCATTTTTTATAAACATAGCAGTTTCAGAGAATGGGTTAATCCAGCCTCCAGTGGCTGACAGCCGCTAGAGGCGCTTGCGTGCTTCGCACTGTGAAAATCACAGTGAGAAGACGCAAGCGTCCATAGGAAAGTATTATGAATGCTTTCCTATGAGACTGGCTGAATGCGCACGCAGCTCCTGCCGCGCATGCGCATTCAGCCGAAGAGGAGGCGGGGAGGAGGAGGAGAGCTCCCCGCCCGGCGCTGGAGAAAGGCGAGTGTTTAACCCCTTCCTCTCCCCAGAGCCCGGCGGGAGGGGGTCCCTGAGGGTGGGGGCACCCTCAGGGCACTATAGTGCCAGGAAAACGAGTATGTTTTCCTGGCACTATAGTGGTCCTTTAACAAACCTGGTAATTAATTTAAAAATTAAGATTGATCAATCCATCAGCATTTTATACAGATGATAGAATTTTGGAGAGAAACCTATTATTGCTACAGGAAGAAAGAATTCAGGATTTAGGCATTTTCAATGGGAATGTTGGAAAAACCTGGGACTAATGGTGCGCCTTGAGGATTGAGTTAAAATCAGTGAGTGACAAGACAAAATGCCACACTGACACTCATGCCATTTTTCCATCTGTACCAGAAAATCTATTAAACTAAATTTAATTCTATCTACTTGTTTATTTGAGAGAATCAATGTCCAGGTCCCTTGTATCTGAGAGGGGTATGGTTCTAAAATTCACTTATTGGAGTTAAAGTTTTTTTTTTTTATAACTACCAGAAGTCAGTACTGGCGTGTACCCTTATAAATAAATTCTTAAACAAACACTATAGCGTTAGGAATACCAACCTATATTCTCTATAGTGTCCCTAACTTGATATGTCCCCCACCTCAGTCCAGCATAAAAAGGTAATTAAAAATTATTAGACTAATGTTGTTTAACAGTGTAAAAGTAGGCTAGGGACTCTGAAACGCCTCTAATGAGTGTCTTTCTCAGAAGCTGCAATATTTTACATTGCAGGGTTAAACAGACAGAGGTACTGCATACAGACCTCTTCAATGAAATAAAGTGGTCCGGGTGCCTATAGTGCCTGTCTAAATGGATACGCTAAACACCAAAATTACTTTATTTTAATGAAATGCTGTTGGTGTATAGAACATGCCCCTGCAGTCTCACTGCTCAATTCTTTACCATTAAGGAGTTAAGTCACTTTGTTTATGCAGCCCTAGCCAAACACACCTTGGGTGAAGGGCCAGCCTTAGGGTTGTGCGAGCTGAGCACCGCACAGAGTGGCATGGCGCATGGGTGCCGAGTGGACGACACAGCTCACACACATAGGGGCAGATTTCAAAAGCCATTGCAAGTAAGGGGGTGGGGCTAAATTTCATCAGTGTGGAGCTAAATACAATGCAGGGGCAGAGCTAAATGCTGTCTGAAATGGCTGCCTGGCTGCACACTGAGGGGAAACAGGAATGATCCCTGCTTCCCAAACAACTATACACCACGGACTGAAGTGCCACTGCCCCATCTCCAGTGCCTATAATGGAAGGAGGTAACTGTGTAACTGTCTGTGTGTGTGTGTGTCAGGGCTCGTCACAGCAGCAACGCCTTTCCCATTGCTCCTGCAGGCACTCCGGTGGCGGCAAAAAATTCCGCCCCCAAATTCCCCCCGTGTTCCCCCTGTCATGCGGGGGCCCAAGTGGTGACCTCATGGCCACCTGATGGACCCCCCCGGTGGGCACGTGTTCTCCCTGCTCTGCTCCCTTGCACGCCGTTTGCTGATGCCAGGAGCCGGAATATGACGTCATATTCCGGCTCCCGGCATCAGTAGACAGCCCGCGTGGCGAGAGGGAGCAGAGAGAACACAGCTCCCTGGCTACGTCTGACAGGGAGACAGGCGCCCGCCTCACTGAAGCCCCACTGGACCCCAGGCAAAGTTCCACACCAGCTCTCCAGGTAGGGAGGCTGGGTGGACATTTGTAATTAAAAAAAAAAATAACAATAATTTGTGTGTTTTTCTGAGTGTATGGGTGTGTGTGTGTCTGTGTGAGTGTGTGTGTGTGTGTCTGTGTGTGTCTGTGAGTGTTTCTGTGTGAATGAGTGTATCTATGTGTGTGTATATGAGTGTGTATTTGTATGTGTGTGTGTGTATATGATTGTATGTGTGTTTTTTTGGGGGGATGGGGGTTGATTATGGGTTCCCACACTTTATTCCCCAGGACTTGACCCCTGGTGTGTGTGTATGACAGTCTGTGACTATCTGCCTGTAACGGTGTGTGGCTGCCTGTGACTGTGTGTGATGGTCGACTTGTAACTGTGTGTGGCTGCCTGTAACAGTGTATATGTGTGTGACTGCCTGTAACTGTGACTGTGTGTGTAACTCTCTGACTGTAACAGTATGTCTGACTGTAAGACTGTGTGCACGTGACACTGTAAAAATACACACTTTTATTTACCCATTGGGCTACATGCATTTTTTTAAAAATCTCAATTAACCCCTTAAGGACACACGACGGAAATATTCCGTCATGATTCCCTTTTATTCCAGAAGTTGTGTCCTTAAGGTGTTAAATACCCATCACAAATAACACACACAGTCAATACACACATACATCACACACAGTCAATACACGTATAACAAATATCAAACACTACACCTGTATACACACACACCATACATGGATGAGCAGGTGTGAAGATTCTCCACACAGGGCATCTTAAGACCTACGGCCGGCCCTTTTTGACAAAGACTCACACAGCCTTCCTACACACTTCGTGAAAAATAGTCTACATTTTTGAGAGGTTAATAGCAAAGCATAATTTAATAACTTCTAAAGCAAGCACACCTTGCTGTAAATCTGATTAAAAAGGAAACAATTTTTTTAATGGAAGCTGTCTGAGTCACAACCAGGGGAGGTGTGGCTAAGGCTTCATAAGCAGAAGTGATTAAACTCCTAAATTGCAGAGAATTGAGCAGTGAGACTTCACAGGCATGAGCTATACACCAAAACTGCTTCATTAAAGGACCACTATAGGCACCCAGACCACTTCAGCTTAATAAGGTGGCCTGGGTGCCAGGTCCAGCTAGGATTAACCCTTTTTTCTATAAACATAGCAGTTTCAGAGAAAGTGCTATGTTTATAATAGGGTTAATCCAGCCTCTAGTGGCTGTCTCATTGTCAGCCAATAGAGGCGCTTCCGCGCTTCTCATTGTGAAAATCACAGTGAGAAGACGCCAGCATCCATAGGAAAGTATTGTGAATGCTTTCCTATGGACTTGCTGAATGCGCGCGCGGCTCCTGCTACGCATGCGCATTCAGTCGAGGAGGCGGAGAGGAGGAGGAGAGTCCCCTGCCCGGCGCTGGAGAAAGAGGTAAGTTTAACCCCTTCCTCTCCGTAGAGCCCGGCGGGTGGGGGCACCCTCAGGGCACTCTAGTGCCAGGAGAATGAGTATGTTTTCCTGGCTCTATAGTGGTCTTTGAAGCTAAAGGGCTTCTGGGACATAAAACCTGTTCCTGCAGGATGATAATTGAAAACCGCAGTGATTACATTGCTGTCTAAGTCACTAGAGTTGCTAGTGGTACAGCAACAGATGGTTCTAATAGTTCTTTAAAGTTGTTTTGTGCTTAGAATGTCCCCCTGAGGCCGACACAGCACCATTTAAATTTTATATAGTTCTACTACAGTCCGGAATATACTTTTAGGCTAATCTTGGGACAAAGCAATTTTAAAGAAACAGTGTCCTTAATACCATGTTACAGCTAGGCACATTTAATTTGCATGTGCCACTAGCATCAAAAGGTTATTTTGTTACAAACAAAAACATACATATAGGGTTACGATATACAATAGAAAGAAAAGTAGACCATTATTTCTTAGGCAACCATTTTGAATCTGTGAATATTATACAATAGGTAACTTTCATTCTGTTTACAGATATGCATTAAACTAAAATTAAAAGTAGATTGAAGCTATACAGTATAATATAGTGACCATAATCCACAATGCACATGTTAAAAAAAATCAAAACAACTATTGCTTCTTTACTGTATGTATATTTGTACAGTGCATTGTAGCCAAATTATTTACTTATTTAATATATTTATGTTAAATACATATAGCTCAACATCATCTTGACTGCGCAAAGGATGTGCAGAGGTTCCTGTGTGTTTGTACACTGAGATGCGTTCTACCAGTGGTCAACCTTCCCACGACCTACTTACTATTTAATGCAAGAATACAGGAATAACAGGAGTGAATTTTAATGAGCTATAACGCCAGAACAGAACATTACTAATCTGCTTAATTCTATAACTCCAACTCTATTCCACAGTGCACAATGTCCTCTGCACAGTAGTTACAGGAGTATTTTATTCTGAAAATAAATTACACAAAACAGGAAGGTTCATGGCTTACATTTAATAACTCATACGCCATGAAATTATGTTTATCCTTATAAATAAAGCTTTAAAAATAACAAACATAAAAACAAATATGATACATTTGTGTTAAGGTGTCCTTGGAGTGCGTTTTTTTTTTTCCTTTTCTTAAAACTTTCTAGAATTCTTACTTTTTCATTATAATGAAAAAAAAAAAATAATGTTCACAATATGACTTAACAAGTAGTAAAGTGCTTCTTACAACTGTAAGATTTACATTTCAAGAGGTACAGTTAGAATACTTCCTGAATATAAGTATTTTGTTCTGTACCTTCAAATAAAAAAAATAAAAAAAGTTCTTGCTTTTCATATGTTGCATGTTCACAGGTTGTATGACTGCTGCCTGCAACATACAACATTAATTTATCTCCATAGTTGGTATATCAATAACATCACAGTCCAACACCATTTTGTAACTCATCCTTTCAGATTGTGAGCTCGTTTCGGTATGGTCCTCTTCACCTACTGTTCTCATATGTCAAATGTGTTTTGTTAAAATTATTTGTCTTGGTTTATCATCCATTGTACAGTGCTGCGGAATATGTTGACGCTATATAAATCATTGCAATTGTATTTCTATCTTCATAATTGTCTAAATGTCAGCAGAGCAAGGCCTCATGAAGATTGGTTGCATGGTACAAAAACGCTTGAGCAACGAGCAAGTTGAATGATGAAGGCAGAAATTTGCGATGCGTCTTCTGGTGTCTGTTAAATGCTCATTTTCCTCCAATGTACACTGTGAAAGTTACGGGGGTCTCCCTTATTTGTTACGTATGTTTAGTGCATTATGTAATGCAATAGGCTTCTGCTTTCAGCTCACTTGCAATCCCTTTTCAAAATTTCCACAACTTTTCTACCCAGCGCTGGTTTCCAGAGCTGAACAAAACTTTTCATGTTGACTATAAGATGACCAGTCCTTGTGTCTTCATAACCCGCCACGAGATATTCAAGCCCTTCAAAGAACATAATAGAAGATGTAAATATACATTAGTAAAGAACCCAAAAATGTTCAATGTTCAATGTTGCTTTTGTTCTGAATAAATGTGCCTGAATCTATTGGAGTGCCTGGACCTTTCCTAATTATTTACATCTAAACAAAGTGATAATAACCTGCACAACTGTCCCTATGTTCACAAAGTAAGAGAACTGCCTAAAAAAGATTGTTCCTGTTCTTCTCTGTCTATGTCAGCATAGTCCATGTCAGGAACAGTTTGACAGGTGTGGAATGCATCTTATTTTAAATACGGTAGATGTAATTTAAAATCTATACATTTGCTAACATTTATGCTAGCACAATAGATTACAAAATGAGTGCATCAATGACAGGTACAATTTAAACACCAAAATAACCACGTAAAAAAGAAAAAAAATGATTTGCAAAATAAAAACATTATTCACTCTGAAATTACTTTAATACATATCCCCAAAAATGTTAATCCATTTTTATCTTTTCAAACACAAAAAAGACACGCAAAAAAAATTAATTAAATAACCTTACCAGGATTTAGAATGGGACATGTACAACCCCTATTAGTCCAGGATTCCGGATAGATTGTTCTCTTTCCACGCATAATCTTCACCTTTGTCATTTTTAGAACTTTCTTGATCTTAACATTAACCTCAGCGTGAGATCCTCTATCATGAGCTGACAAAATCTTTATTTTCAAAACTGAAAAAAAAAAGAAAGAAAAAGAAAGAAAGAAAAAAGAAAAAAACTATTAAAATCAATGTCCAGGAATTACTTGCCAAACAAATAAAGTGGTATTTATACCCCCTCCCAACCCACCTTGATTCAAGCACAGCCCTCCCACATTATAGCTGCAATCCACCCCGTGAGAACAGCAGTTTGCTTCCAGTTTTTGGGGGGAAGGAGAGGGAGAGATGGACCTGTAATTCCAGATATGTGATAGGATTGTTATAGGTTCCATAAAAAGTTCTGTTATTTGTGTGATTCTCTTCATTCATTTAATTACAGCTGCAGTGATTTTGTAGGTCATCACGGAAGCTATGCCTCTCCTGAACTTTAGATGTTCTTGAGCCATAAACAAATGTAACTGCTACCTGCTGTGTTAGAATCTGTTTGACAGCCCTTCATGTGTGCTGGCACAAATTGCTTCACTCATGTATTTTCATGAATGAAGCTTTCTGGCAAGCTAGGGCAAGCTGAACACATGATCAGATGCTTTGTAGGACTACTGTGAGATTGTAGGACTACTGTGAGATTGTCTGTTGTATGCTTTTGTATTTAACACTGAAAGAACTGGAACCACACTCTTCCAAGTGACCAACAAAATGATGCTAATGTACTTTGCATACAACTAATCCGAAAAAGGCTTCAGGCCCACCAAGGCTTAATATCGGCAGTTGTATTGGAACATTGTATACAAAGCAATATTTCAAGCTTGAAAAATACCGCCAAGGGAGGTTGACATGTTGCTTCTTATACTATGTTCCAATAAAATTGCCTGATATTGAACAGTGGTGTACATGAAACCTTTTTTGGATTTTTTTTTGTAATTAACACTGACTTACGATTTCTATTTTGGACTAATCCAAACCGTGTACATTTCTCTTGCTTAAGTGTTACCATTTATTAATTGATCTATCTAGGATTTAATATTTTTGTATACACTTTTAAAATGATTTAATATTTTCTTACATATTTTAACATAGATTTTTTTTTTTTTTACATATTTATGGATTTTTTTTTTTTATTAAGGGACCGGAGTGTCACCGCCAAGGCTCTCCTTTCCCCTTCGAAGTATCCCATTCAGTGCAGTAGTCACTGATTATAGCTCGCTGGATAGCTGTATTGTATACCGGTGTCATAGCCTTTCCCCCCCACACATTAGTTGAGACCGGCCGCTAGAGCTGTCCAGGGTGAATTTGGCTGGTCAAATATCAGGAGCTCCTGTAGAATGAAAAAGGGGCGCTCCTCCTGGTTCTCCCGGAGCAATGGTTTATGAGAGTACATATTCTATGCCCTCTAAAGAGTGATCTCCTAGCTGGTTGAGAAGTGGTGGAAAAAAGTAGGTAGAAGGTGGGCGGGAGAGGGGTTAGGCGCAGCCGGGTCTAAGTTCCAGTGGAGTTGTAGGTAAGTTCCGCTACAGTCCTCGCGGCTCTCTGGGCTTCCTGGACGGCCAAGGGAAGAGGTGCTCCTAGTGAATGGGCTTAGAGAGGATGGTGAGGAGGGCCAGTGGTCTGGGACAAAGTCTCTGGAAGTAGGGGTATATAGATCACAGTGATTATGCCACTTTTTGAAGTGAGGTGTGGGGCTGTTAAAAACATCTTAAAACAAGTGACTGATTGTTCCATCACATACATGATATATTATTCAAATGTTAATGTTTCATTTAAATTATGTTTAAAATGTAATATTAAATTGGGGCTACCAAGTTATTATTACCGGATACATTTTTTAAATGTTTTTAATATTTATGGATAAACTTTTAAAAATGTTAACTTTAATACTATGAGAAAGATTTACTTTTTTTGATATTTTTATTTTTTTTAACATACCGATATATTTTTAAATACAATATATTTTGTGATATTTTACAGTTTTGAAAAAAAAACAAGTTTTTTTTAAAGGTTATCATATAAAATGCTTACCCAAAAATAGGAAAAAAGAGGCCTATGTAAGAGATGGGATTATTCAAAGACTTACATTATATCTAATAACTAGTAAATACACAGACTACAATCTGCCTTTCTTTAATTTTATCAATTTGGATCCTAGTTGAGCATTTACTCATCTTTAGACACAACTTTCTAATCGCCAAACCAAAGTTATAGATCATTCCAAAAGAAGGTCTAGCACTTCTCAAATCATCTCAGTGTGCTTTTGTTCTGGTGTCAGAACTGAAAAAAATGAACACAATTGCAACTAACCAGTTGTCCTTGTGTATATACCATTGGTTGATTGAACTGTTGATGCATTAATCCTGTTTTAACACCTGCAAAAGCACTTACAAGATGACTTTAGGACCTTTTGGAATTTTATTTACTTCATCTGAAGGTTAGTTTATAGTGGAACAACTTGAAAACACGTCTGTATGGGAGAACAGCTCTAGATTGCAATCTATGGCATTTCACCTCTAATTGAATTTACCCTTCTACATCAACTTGTGTAGTCAACATTACAGGACATAAGCGCTCAGCTGGAAGGGTTTGAACAGAGCAAAGAATGTTTTAATGTACATACCAACCATGTTTTACAGTGCATATATTTGTTTTGTATCATACAACTAAAAAGGTTTCTATGTGTTTTTTATTTCATAACTCGTCCTGCTAATAATGAGGCCTGTGAAAGGGTGGGAGACGTGTTACTTCTTAAGATTTATGTAGTTGTTATTTGCTCCCACTTCTTATCTTTAAGGAAGATTAAATATCATCCATATCACACTCAGGAAGCCAGAGCAACACAAAATCATAATGTTTCACTGACACAAGACCTCTTGAACTTTCCTTTGCAGGTCGCCCTGTCTTTGTTGGCTAAATCTTATCTCCTGATCCACTCCCCGAAAGGAAATAGGTGCAGACCGCATTAATAAATACCACTAATCTTATACACACACTCTCCGTTTTGCAGAAACATGAATACATATTTATTTATTAATGGCAAAGCAATTTCATGTATCATAAGACCGGTCATATTGCTATAAAGACAATTTAGATCCAGTCTATATTAAAAAATAATAATATGGTGGAGGAGAGTCTTCTGTAGCAGGTTAAAAAAGTATTCTGAGAACCATAAGTTGTCCATCTCAATGAAGTGGTTATGGTGCCTGAAGTACCCGGGAGCTATCTTACCTTCTTGTGTTAAACCATTTTTGAATGGCTTAACACAGAAGCATCCCCAGGTGTCTGTGTGCTGCCTCTTCTTTTCTGCAGAAGCATTAACACATGCAACAAAGGGGCATCAATGATACACTGAGAGCATCAAATGACCCTCTCAGCCTATTACTGGCCATCCTTCACAAGTACAGGTTACAAAATGTAAATGAGTTTACTCTTGATGAGCGACCAGTGGTAGGCTGAGAGAGACAGCTAACAACCTGGGTCTATCCCTCCCACCACTTTGCTGCTCGAGCTAATGCACCTGCACTAGATCTATTGTGTCCCCTCGTGATCTCACAGTGGGGTTCAAAATAAATAGTAAAATGGAGGGTGCCTACACCTGCTATCAATGGGGGAAGAACCCATTAGGACCCCCTGGTTAATATTTATTTAAGAGCTCGCTGTCCATGGGATGCAGCTGGAGAGGACATTAGGTCCCCCCTCTCGTTAATATAGTTAAATCCTCCATCCACCATGGGGTGGTGGCTGTGATAGACACTTAGTCCTTCCATTTATTCAGAGCCCCATCCCCTTACTTTATTATCCATCTTGAGCCAAACTGTAGCCAAACAATATACCTCCCCCTCCTTTAATATTTATTTGTAGCCTCATGGTGAGGACAGGGGGACTGTTATTGTATTAGCAACTGGGCAGCCATGATGTTTAGTAGACATATCCCTTCCATATGGACTTCCATAAGTCAATCATATTTACTCCCATAAGCTTTTATTTGTTAACGTAACCACTTGGGGTATTGTGGGAGGAAAGCAGTGAGTGAAGTGTTAAACATGTAAGCGGTTGTCTGAATTTCGATGCCAATGAGAACATGCAAAGGGAATTTGGACGACCCAAATGTCCGAATAGTTTTGGTTTTTTTTTTTCTGACAAAACTATTTGGACAAATCAAATTTTATATCTAGTAAACTGTAGTAATACAGGGGGAAAAAATAAAGGCAGTCGCTATTGTCTGTGCCGACTAGGCATTAATGTGTGTAATGGAAATAGTGTGAGAGCTCCCACAACACTATTTAACTATAATCTGATAGACCTCTTTTTTTACTCACCATATGAATATTTCATGCCACAAAATATTTTAGGATTCCCTAAAACCTGCTCTTTGCACTCGCATTTCCCTAAAATAGGAAGAAAAAAAAAAGTACAAAGATTATTAAATAAGAATCCAAATGGAAGATTTGGTTAAGCAATCAATGACAAACCTCTTTTTCTTTAAATAGAATAATTAAAATCATGAACAATGACACAGGTTTCTACTTAACTTAGTTAACTTTACTTAACTTCACAAAGAAAACATTATAGATTCTAAATTTTCAATATGCAAACATCATGAAAGCATAACCTATGCAATTAAATGTGTTTTTTTCCAAGTCCACAAATAAGTGTATTAATTCATATTTGTGAATTTACCAAGAAGGATACAGTGAGATTTCTCTTATTTACAATTATGTCCACTGCCTAAATATTTAGACATACTCCAAATACTCTGTGATGCACACTTTGACTGGCGTCATGCAGTGTGAGGTCCCTAATCTCTGCGCAGTGCTAGGAGATAAATTTACCAGTTTGTCCCTTAATATTGGTAGTTATGTTCTCAAGAAGCAGCTGCCGTTCGTTCAATTCACTCCTATCTCATTAATTTATACATTCGTGAAATGTGTGTTGGGAGAGAAAGTAAGGAGGCATTTTCTCAAAAAAACGCACCAGGACATATTCTTCTAGGTATTTAACAACACACGTATACATAGATATATGTGTGTAACTATGCAACAGCAATGTGATATGCATTCTGACCCAATGGCTTAGGGCCTATTCACTAGAAGTTGTTAGATGAGCTGATACTGATGCATACTACAACAATCAAATGGGTTCTTTGTTCAAAAGTTACATATTGATCACATACAGACTCAAGTGTTATCATCAGAGAACCTTTGGTAAATGTATACCCTATTTTTCGTCACTATAGAACTCACCATGACCACAATAAAATAGCAAGCAATCACAGGCCTCCCTAACTGTACAAAGAAATTGCTCTTGGAGCTGAGGGCCAGGTGTCTAGCATAGAAGCAAGACGCCCTGTGTTGACATTCCAAGCTGGGATAAGCCGTAAAACTGGGAGCAGCTTCCGTCAATCCAATAATTAGAAAAAGGAATGCTCTTGGATTCCAATAATAACAAACCACATTAAATACATATTTCATTGACACAAATTATTTTTTTATTATAGTGTAAATTAAAGAGAGGATTAGAAAAACCACAAATCTGGATGTGAGAGAGAGATTTCATGCCGTGTTAGGAAATGAATGTGTTACTTTGTTTAGTGATAGGTTTGGGCAATTTATTCCGCACCATTAGTCAGTGTTTGTTTTAGCATCTTATTCTAATGATATGATAGGCTAGTCTACTTTCTCATAAAAAGGGTTTCAAAATTCTAGTTTGTGATACTGTATTTTCTTGAGTAATATAAAAAAAAGCAAATGATATTCACATACATATTGATGCTACTGTCTAGATGGCTTTAATGATTAACTTGTTTATGTCACAAATGCTATTGTAGAGGTTTAGTATAAAAAAGTGGAACAAAACAAAGACTTTATAACAATTTTGTCACATTATTTTGTACACACATTATTTTATAAAAACATGGCAAAATAGGTTATTTCTTTGTCCTAATTTTCTTTACTTTAAGTTACTTTGTATGTAGGTACACTTGCAGATGTTATGTGTAGTATTTCATAGGGAAATTATATAAAAAGAAAAAAAATAAAACATAAAAACACTCATCGGTTGTTGAATTTCACATTTATTTGAATATAAGAATATATGTAAAAGCTGAGTTCTCACCTGAATGTCGAAGAGCAGAAAAGCCTTGTTCATCTTCCCAGTCCCAGGCTTGCTCGCTCTCATTATAAACCGAGAGAATATCAGGGTACCAGTTGATTTCCGTGCTTCAAAATAACAAAAACAAATGGTTCATATATTAATCAGCCCATATAAATACACACAGCAGCAATGGTAGTTCAACTGACCTTTTTTGTTAACACTAATTTCCTAGTGAACATGTAGAAAAACAAACAAAAACAAAACGAAAATGTTTCTGCACTGATAGTTCTTCAGGAAACAGTTTATCTCACTGTATTTTTTTTCCATATTTTGTAAATTTCGAATGAAAATCTAAGCCAGAATGTGCAATCATTGCGCAAACAGACATGACAGTGAAGGAATTCATATTGTGTCTGACCCCGTCACCAAAATGCTGAGGTTCAATTCTACATACAAATGAACACGAAGAGAGTATGGTGTGAGAGGTACGATTCATGCTGAGTGTTGACAGATTAATGAGAATTAGTTAGGTGCCTGGATAAAAAAATGTATGGAGTCTATGTCAAAACAAGTCTCACTGTCACTGTGAGCACAAACTCATTTCTATAATATTTGTGATTCAGAAAGTTTGGAGATTCTGTGTACGTGGACTCCATCATCTCAGGAATTTTTGGGCTGATACTTGATGGAACACAGGGGTCCAGACATAGTGCAAGCCAATTACTCATGGCCATTCATGATACACACCATCATTTGGGATTCTGAAATTATAAGAATCTACTGACATGTATCTAGAAGCATGGAAATTAAAGCTATGTACATAGTCTTATTTTAGTACCACAATTACCCCATTTATCAAAGATAAATAATAGATTGCTATATCCTAAAAAATATGTATCTTCTGCATGAATATTCAAGAGGAACACTAGTTTTGTTAGTCGTGTAATTTTTACAGAAGACCTAGGAGAAGTTCAAAAAAAAAGCAGGAGAGATAACAAGCCATCCTCTAGTCTGGCTATGGACAAGTTAGCAGGCAATTGGCTTCAAAAGTGGGCCTACGCGTGTGTGTTGGTAATTGAACAGTGCTAAAACCATGGAGTAATTTTTCTGAAGTTTCAGTTGATTTTACTATGCCATTATCTCAACTATTGTGTTCATAAAATGAAGCAAAGTAAATCACATAGGTCATTAGAACAAATGGGCTTTTAACATGCTAAACCTGCAGAAAAAAAAAAATTTCAATTGTTATTTTTAACCTGTTTAACGTCTTTCACGTGAAATAAGTGGTGCATGAAGCTTTGCATAGCACTATAGAAGTACAATGAGAGCTGATACAAAAGAAGTCAAATTATAAGCAGTCAGAAAAGGCAATCCATGCCTCAGAAATGTTGATTCAGTTGTGCTCGGAGGAACGTACCTAAATTCTGGTATATAAGTGGTACGTGATATTTTGGAATGGTGTCTTGCATTGTAATCTTCAACATGTGTGTTATATGGAATTTCTGGCTAATTTACCCAAAATAAACAACTAATTAATGTATCCATTTTAAGTATTGTGGTGTATCAGCCTATAAACACCAATCATATGTTTGTATGCTGTCTAGAAATAACGTTGTTTTACATTTATCAAAAGAAATAATAAATAAACTAATGGAGTCTCAAAAACAAATGGAACTCCAAACCTGGTTTTATACAAAGTCAGAGAAAGTAAGAGACATTATAAAGGTATAAATTATATTTTGACCAATCCGGAAATAAGCACGGAGTTTAAATAGTGGAATTTTCTACAAACAGCAATTACACGTAATCCCAAGATGTGCCAAGAAAGAAAATAATAATAATAATAAATGCTTTATTAGTACATATAAATAAAAGGCACTATATGTATGGGATAATTGCTAAGTGGCAAGGGGTATATCAATCATCTGGAGGTCCTCTGTGTCTCTGTAATATAACTATTCTGTGGGCCCCTACTGGTAGGAAGAAAGATCCCTTATGAAGAAAAGGGTAAAATGAAACCAATAAATAATAAGTAAATAAGTCTTCCTGGGTTCATGTCCAAATCTACTAGTCAGCAGTCCAACTAGAAGGTCTGAGACCCACGCTCAGAGAATATCCAGGCAGCAATCAGTATATACCCAGGGTCTGGATCTTTTACCTTAGACTGGCTAGTGTTGCACAGAGATAGTACATAGTAACAAATGAAAAGCCTCTGATTACAATTGCTCAAAAATCTCAGCTGTTAACAAATCATGTTAAACATAGCAAGTAGCTTTAAAATCAATTAGCAGAAGAGAGATGATGAGCTAATAAGACCCTATAGTTCCTAAAAACACCTTCAATGTGTAATAACCTTAATTCAGTGTTCCTGCACATCACAGAAATCAGCTACCATCAGCATCCTATTTGTCGATTCTGTGGTGCCTGGCAAGGGGTATAACATGCAATCACGGCATAAGTTTTCCATAGGTTTCCTTTATCAGGCCACGGTATTGATACAGTTCACTATCTTATCTATGCTTACATGTGGTTAGTTTGAGTTATGTGTTCCATACAGAACACACACAATGCATGGATACATATTCCTTGCCCAAACTAGACAACTTGGAATACTCAGAATACCCGGCACCTATGCTCAACCTTTATGCTAAGTGGCCGAGCCATGATATTCTGTAAACTCAGCACGGTGTCAAACATTCAACAAATAAGAATTACATCCAAATCATCAAGTTTATATTATTACATTTAGTGGGCATAAAATAATCTTGCATAAAATCGTAAATACGTACATAAAATTAATATTAAATGTACATAAATTAGCAAAATCATTAGTATAATCTAGTAAAAATAAGTAACGGGTTTTGTTTGATTAAAGCACGATACTCACTTAGTGATGCAATCGCCAGTAAGGGAATCACAGCTTCCAGCACAGTCGCAAGGCCTACAGCCATATTCTCCAAAACCCCAGTATCCAACCATGCACCGATCACAGTGTGGGCCAGCTACCCCTGGTTTACATGGGCAATCGCCGTTGTTGGGGTCACAGTATGTGTACGCACTAGATGGAAGCACTGCAGATCCAACTGGGTGACATGAACATGCTAAAGACATAATCAAAAGAGACATTTATTAGAAGGGTTACTCTTAGAAATGAATCCATGTATTTCCAGTTTTCTAGATCACCAAGGGCAGAAGAAGGTTACATGGCATGATGGACCTGTCTTTGGCTGTCGTGGGTTTATTGACATTGAAAACAGCAACTGTAGCACATACACACACACACTTCTATATGTTGTATCCTTGTAAATATGATTTTTCAAAAAGTAAATAACTGTAGTGTACAATAAAAGCAATTAACAATATTACATATGAACATCCTGTATTTGCAAGTCTGTACTGAAAGTAGACCTACATGCACTCAACATTTTAGAATCCCAGGAAGGTCCTGTGAATATCATACAATGTATGTATTTAAATCAAGCATCGTCTGACAAACGTTTGATGTAAGTATGTCATGCTTACAATTTACCTTTTTGGAACACAATGCATAGGTGTATAAAAAATGTGTAGGGGACCCATTGGAACATGGATTTTGGCATGTGAATTTTGCAGAAACCACTCTTAGATCGAATTTGTCCTAGGACAGCCCATAGTACCCATCTGATAACCCCGACAAAGGTTCCGGTTGGGTTCTCCAGAGAACTTTTCCTTACAGCTATGGGTTGAGAGTGGTTACTCACGTTACAGTTTTTTAATGCAAATGTTGTCATCTGCGGCTTTATGGATTTCTGGACTGTCCCGACCACCATTGGGAAGCAAATGAAGTGTCAAAGCATATAGTCTGAGGAAGGGACACCTGTTTGTCTGAAAAATAGCAAGGGGCTTTGAGGACTTTCACAGCCAATCTTAGATAATGTTCATCCAGTAAAGTGCGTTTTGTCTCATAGCTGAATAAGCCTGCGGTTATTTCTTCCTTCAGCATATTGCTATAGGGAATACGCCTTGATCTAATTAATGTGTTTACGCATATGTTTTCAATCGTTTAATGGCATAGTAATGTACACAACATACAAGCAGATTTTACTTTGTAGACTGTTAGTCATTTTGTTTAGACATTATGATGTGTTTATTATGCCTCTTTGTACCAAGATGTGCAGTTGTTTGTTTCTCTGCTTTCATATGACTTTGTATTGTCTATACAACAACTACACAATAAAATATAAATTATTACAACATATGCCATGCAAGGACAAATTATATCAACAGAGAGTAACAACAAGTACAGGAAAGTTGAAGTTTTCCTGACAGTGATGGACACTTCACACGGATTGCTGCAAAATTCTTCAAATAAACAGCCTCAAAAACTATACAGAATTCAATTATAGTTACAATGACTTCGTTACAACAAAATCTATACATCAGGAAAGTCACAAAGCTTGAATTTATAACACACTGCCATTCAATAAGCACTGGTGATAAAATTATCCATGATCAATGCACAAGTATGCATAACCCAGTATGAAAAAAATAAATAATAAATAAATAAATAAAATAAAACAAAACATTTTAAATCCCAAAACCTAGACACTCAATCAACAGAGGAAAAAGTCATTTGGACTGACAAGTTATTATATCTGGACAGGGATAATATTTGGTATATACTAAATACTATCTTCTAAGTACCAAGTCTGTGAGTACAGCCATGTCAAGGGAGGGTTGATGATTGTCCTGCATGGTCGTAATAAATACAATATCACGGAACACAGGGTTATTGTAGAGATCCAGATGCTCCCTGGGTCACAATTTGGTGCCACTGCCAGCACAACCCATGGCTGGTGAATTTTTGATAATGATGTCTTTAAACATGTTGTTGCAATTCTGACCAAAATTTTGAAAATATTCTGGATCAGTAAACTAATCGTTCTGAATTTTGAGGCTGTTCGGTATATGGTAATAACAGTCATTTAGATAAACTGTGGCATAGTCACCCAGTAAAAATGGCAATGAGTTACCCTTACCAGCCTCTTTTAGGTCATGAAACTATATCTACGATACATTCCAGTGTCACACAAGAGGCCAATCATCATATACCACTAACCAAGAAGACGTGAAGTTAGGTTCACTTAAGGGCTTGCATGCAGAGTGAGATCACACGTGTTTATTTGAGTTATGCTTGTTTAGTCTCACAGAATACTTGTCAAATGCATTCTGTAGCATAGGATTTAATGTACAAAACAGGACAAGAATGGAACATTCCTTGTCAGAGATACACATCTTGAAAACAAAAAGACAGAGTAACTAAACTAATATGCTGTGACATATGTTAAATGGAGACTATAAGAACTACTCATTTTCCATCCAAAAAACAATCTTTATAAAGAGTTTCATACTTTTTAATTTTTTTCCCCCCACAAGCAGATTCTATAAAATATGAAGAATTGGCCCTGTCCCTAAAACAGTTTCGTGACTCACATTTGCTCTACAAATAATTGGAGACTCACAAGTGAATAATTTGGCTTCATCTGGTCTGTATGTCAGAATGAATATCAATGATTATGAAACAATCTCCATCCTTCTTGCTTAAATTTCTAGTTTGCAAACCGTTATTCTTTCTTATCCAATATTTTACTGGAATTTAGATCACGGATAACATATATATATAGCATTTTGCTGTAAAATACATTATTCTAAATATATGCAGCCTATTCAGACTACATGCAGTAAATCAAACACTGTTTCCAGGTATAGCAGTAGATAAAATATAGGCAGTGAATACCTGAATATTCTTTAAAGGATCGCTGTAGTCACAAAAACCACTTAATCTCAGTGAGGTGGTCTGGGCACAGTGGTCCTGTCCTTTTAACTCTACGATCAGTGGTGGAACTAGAGGGCTCGCTAAGGTCGCGAGTGTGACAGGTCCTTTGTGTTCTACCTGTCAGAGAGGACCCATGAGATGGCTGTGTGGCCTCCTTGGGGCTTCCCCAAGGTTTGCAGATTTCCACAAAGACACAATAGGCACCTGCTTATCCGGATGGTAGGCCTACTCTGACTAAATATACCGTGTCCAGAGGGGGCCTTTTGTGCTCTTCCAGCACTGCTCCCTCATATCACTGCAATGTCGTCGGGAGCAGGGATAGTCCTGTCCTGGCATCACTAAACGGTGCACAAGGGAGCAGAGCTGAAAGATCATAAAGCTAACTATAGCCCTAATAGATGCCAAGGAGAGGATCAACAAAAACTATAAATAAAACTAATTTGTGAGTGTGAAAATGTATGTCTATCAGTGGGTGAGCATCAATGTATGTGTACCTGTAAGTGTGTCTATGTCAGGGAGTATCTCAATGTATGTCTATCAATGAAAGTGTGTATTGGTTAAACAGTGTGTGTACCAAAGACTGTGTGTCTGTCAAGTCAAAGTGTGTGTCTGTCAGTGTGTCAAAACAGTAAAAATGTGTATGTATTAGTGTGTGTGTCAGTGTATGCGTATCAGAGAGTGTGTGTCTGTGTCAGGGAGTGTCTGTCAGTGTGTGTCTATCAATGAAAGAGTGTATTGATTAAACAGTGTGTGTTCCAAAAACTGTGTGTCTGTCAGTGTGTGTATGACAGTGTATGTGCATAAGTGAGAGCATAAAGGGGGCTCTTTCTATGATTCTTGCACCGATTCCTAGTTATGCCCCTGCCTGCAATGTAAAACAATGCTGTTTTTTTTGCTTTGTTTTTAAAACCCACCTCTATTTCCCGTCTTTCTGACAGCCACTAGAGGCGCTTCCGAAGTACTGACAGAATAAAACTCAGCCAACGTGATGCGGAAGCAATTCAATGCTTTTCCATGAGAGACAATGGATGTGCGCTCGGCACTCACTGTGCATGCGCATCACATCCCTCTGACAGGAGCATTGGATTGGAACATTGCCGGAGGAGGCCATGCCTCCTGAATTACGTCAAAGGATGTGGAGAGGTGAGCAGTGCTGATGGATACATTGCTCTGGGAAAAGATGAATATATGTTTAAATTTTTTTTAATAATAATTATATATATATATATATACACACACACACACACACACACACACACACACACACCGTAAACAGGGTTTGGGTTGTCGTTTTTCAAATTTCATTTGATTTAAATTATTTTTTATTCTAATCAAATGCACAATTAATAGAGAGGATTATACGCAGCAGACATTAAACAAGTTTCTCAGAAAGGAACACTTCATTTTTGCCATTCAGAACTTTGTAAATGTGCAGTATGATTCATGAGTTTATTGATTTACAAAATCTCTTCATAGCAGGCCGCGTTTAACCGCTATATAATTTTTTGGCTCCTGCCACAGCAGTTTTGGCAATAGCAAGGAAAATGAAGCAGCGGCACTTTCAGCAGCTAATAAAAAATCCTATAACAACAAGATAAAATCACCACCCACTAGCTCTGTTTTTGGCTCCTGGCCACTGGCTGAAATTGGACTGGGTAGTGCACACTTAGGCTCATTCTGTCTACCTGCCTGCAAACTATGGGATTGCGGTTACACAAACACAGCTTTCACAAATGACTTTTTATTTACCCATAATGCATTCTAATTTGTAGCAAGGCAAGGAGAAAAATCACAGTCAAATGACAAACAGGACTGAGAGGGCTGCATAATAGGACATATGCACTTAACAGCATATTTAGTTGTCAGCAATGTATACATTGGTCTTTGGACCCAACACCCCCTTGTCCTTTTCCCTACCTGGTATCCCTATTTTTCAAAAAGCTTGTAATGTTTGGTAATAGAAAAAGGTAAATAGAACTTTAACTCAAAATAATTAAAACCTAAAACTACATCATGCCACCTGTAGCGCATGGAGCAGCACAGCTTAGTGGAATAGGGCCTTGACAGAGCTAGGAGGTGGGCATTCATAGTTAGCATACTTGGATTGGATAGTTATCTGGGATAGATAGGCTGATACATTTTCTCACAGATTTGGCTGTTGTCCCGCCACCCTGATTTTGTGTTTAGTTTGGAGTTATCCTCCATCTGGTCACAGCGGTGGGGGCTGGGGGGAGGGTGGGAGTTGTTATTAGGTATTTAATTATGTGTTTTAAAACTTTGTATGTGGTTTAAAAGTTGGTATGGTAGGTTTTGAGCTGGCCTGTGGCTCAGAACCTTTAGGTGTAGGGGTATCTCGGTATACCTACATTGTGGCTCAGAACCTGTGGGTGGATGTAGGGGTACCTTAGTATACCCCTACATTGGTTTATTCGAGCAAGTTGGTATGGTAGGTTTTGAGCTGGCCTGTGGTGCAGAAGCTGGGGGTATGATATAAAAGCCTGGCAGAGGAGGCATTGTCCCGGGTGGGGATTACTAAACTTGAGCTTGAGTGAGCAGCCCCGTGCAATAAGAGGACAGAGCAGTAAAGTTGCCGAACTACTGTACACCAATGCTTTTTTTTTTGGTTTCTTGGAAACGAGTGCAACAATTTTTTAATGTAAGAGTTCTATTTAGTGGAGAGGGGTTTTCCAATAAATACAGTGTTACACTATTTGGATTCTATTGTATCCTTTAAGGTATTTGGATACACTTTCACGTACTGCATCCAAGGGACATGGATTTCAGCATTTGGTAAAATGCCCCCACACAGACTACCCCAGGACTCTTGAACATTATACCGAATGGTTTATATATTTTTACAGTATATGTTTTAACACACATGCTTTTATTTTCGAATAAAATTTTGGATAACCCTCATTGTGCAAGCGTGGGTTTATCTACCAAATCATGAGTTTATCTACTTAAGTGCTGACACTGGTTTATTTGGGCAAGTTGGTATGGTAGGTTTTGAGCTGGCCTGTGACTCAGAACCTGGGGGTATAGGAATATCTTGGCATACCCCCACATTGGATCATTTGGGCAAGTTGTCTGCACTTAATTATGTTTCATGATGTTATTTATGTTCTTATATTGTTATGGTGTCGTTAATTGTGGGGTCATTGTAATGTTGTAGGGGGTTATTTATATACTGTGTCAATGTTTGTTTGACAATGACTTTTTGTATTCAAATTGATATATTATATTATATTAAAAGCTGTTGACAGCATTTTATCCAACATATTGGTGTCCGTGCAAAACTAAAATAAAAAAACACACAGGAAGTAATGTTTTTTTTCATGGTACCTACAACTTCTGTACAATTTAAAGAGCATTACATTTTGTCTATACATTTGCTAACAAATCTCCTACAAAATGTATAGATTGGGGGATGGGGGGGGGAACTAAAATTGGTGTTTCTTCCACCTGTCAGTCAATTATTGTTGAAGAATTGACTGACAGGGGAAAGCAGAAAAGATATCCTACAGCACATGCGTGTGAGGTTCCTATGGTAACTCCCCAGCTGATGCTACTAGCCCTGGCTAGGGAGTATAGTAAAGGAATGACCAGAAGCCAACATGCTGGCAACAAACTCAGCGTGTGGGCATCCTCAAGCAAGGTAAATTAAAGAAGAGACTGGGAGGAACAAAAGACCGACCGGAGAGGACTGTTACAGAAATTTAACACTCACAAAGCTGAATAAAGGGTGGTCCTGGATGATCGGGGGTATGGTGAGTGACCTCTGAAAATTATAAAATGAATACATTGTAGATAACTGTGATGCATAGGTATTCAATGTATTTGGGGCTGATTTAAGTAACCCAAAAAACAGAACACACAACAGGTTCACGTTAACATTATATATCTATTGCTGATACAAACAGAAAACTGTAGTAATCACCATTCACCAATCATTGTATTCACGAAATTGAGAATTGTGGTTAACATACAGTGCACTTGCAAAATATAATTAGGCAAGCCCATTGTTAATTCTATTACAAATTTAGCAGAAATCACTTTTCAGCGAAAAAAAACCCTGAATGTCACGGACGTTTCTATTATTTAAAGATTAACCCATTACCCTTACAACACTTATTTTTTTTTTCATGTTACAGCAAGGGTCTTTCTACTCAATACCTAAAGTCACAAGGGTGTCATTTATCAAAATGTCAGGTTTCCATAGGCACAAATACACAACACAAGAAACATTCTCTCTGATTACTGACCTATCCTTTCCCATAACCTCCCGTCTTTATGGTGAAAAAATCATTTTGTTTATTTATTTATTTTGGGGGAATGTTCTCCATCAACAAAGTGCTTGGAATGTTGTTGAATCTAGAGTAGTACTTGTTTAGTATTTAGGAATCCTTTCTCCAAAAAGAGCAAAGAAACACAAACAACTTTTACTTGTTTTGCAGATAATCTTTTTTTAGGACACCATAATGTCTAACTGAGCTATGAATTATCATAAAGCTACTATCAGGACAATTAACTGAAAAAATAGAATATATATTTTTAGTATAGACTTGTACTGAAGGCGATTGAGTCCTCCAAACCTTATAGAGACCATTAATTAATGCAGATTTAATACCAAACTACAAACACCTCCCCCTCCCTTGTGCCATTTCTCCTGTCTTACTATTTGGCAACTCACCAAGACATGGCAGTTCTGTAAACATTCCATCTTTTCATGTATCTGAAGACGGACACTTTTTGTTTCAGTGAGAATGGTTGGACAGGTTTTTAATGATAGCTACGTATGTAATGGACTATGTTTCAGAAATAAAATAAGCATTTTTATGCTCAAGTGCTATTACAGTACATAAAGAGTCACAAACCCAGGTTTACATTTTTTCTTTGCTTACAATGTACGCAAATTACAAAATGTCATCATATCAATCTACCAGACTTTTATTAAAGCACCACTAAAGTCTCAATTGAGTGGTCTGGGTGCAATGCCCCTGTCCTCTTAACCCTGTAATGTTAATTATTGCAGTTTCCGAGAAACTGCAATAATTACATTACAGGTTTAAGACTGCCTCTAGTGGCTGTCAGTCGTCTTTTGGTCACCTGCATGAGGACACCCAGTGTCAGTTAAATACCCACAGTAAAGCATTGAAGCAATATGCTCGCCGCGCATGTGCATTAGCCCCCCACATTGGCGACGTTGGAGGAGGTGGACATCGGTGCTGGAACTGGATAAGTACAACAAGGGTTTTTTAACCCTTACAGTGTGTGTGCGTGGGGGAAGGGGTGGGGGGAGCCAGAGGGATATATTAGTGTTAGGAACACACTTTTGTATTCCTAAAGTTATAGTGTTCCTTTTACCTTTACTAGAGATGGGTAACGTCAGATGCTGACGGCAGAGTCAGAGCTAGAGGCTGCAGCGGAGGAGTGTCTGTGCTGCAAATGAGGTAAGTAAGCTTTATTTAATTTTACATTTTACAGAGCAAAGATTGGAGGTCAGTAATCACATCAATAAAAAGGAACCTATAGTCTTAAAATAATCAAAGGAACTACAGGTTCTCTTTAAAGATATAATTTCAGTTAAGAAGTCTCCAGTGGGTGCATGTTATTTTGCTAAATATTTGCTGGAATTCAGAAAATGTTTAGATGGGAGGACAAATTACTGAGAGGAAAGGACATGTCAAAGTTCATGTAAATGGAGCAATACATTGTAAGCTTGTCAACGCACAAATGGGTAAGGCTGTACATTACTACCATTTAATGGTTTATCGTGAAATTCTATAGTTCTAGAACGCCACGGAGATTCAGGTATAAAACTGGTGCAACAACACAAAGGAAAGGCATAACAGATGCATAAAACACAGCTTGGTTAAAGCATTACATTAAGCAGCTACATTTTCTTAATGCATAATTTAGTTTTTATGTGTGTTGTGTGTGACATTCATCAATGTCTCCAGGCAGAAAAACAATTGCCAAATTCGAGCAAGAAAAAAACAAAACTAGATCAATGTGGAAAAAATTTTGAATGCAATTTTGCCGATTGCTAACATTCAGAGAGATGACTTGATGCTCTGGATTTGCACTAAGGGGTTTTGAGTGTCTTAATATCTAGGAAACGTTCAGTGATATCTTCATGCAAGTGCTGAACAGGTCAGGTAAGTCAGCATTAGTTGTTTGCTGTGATGGCTTATAAAATTTAAATTAAATTAACCATTTGCATATTACATTTATTATCCCTGCCTGTGCTCATTTGCATGTCAAGCTCTGAACTCTGATTTCTCAAGTTTCTTCCCAAGGGCATCTTCTCAAAGTCCAACTTGAGATATGCACGCAATGCGCAGCAGTATTTTTTCATATTAAGCCTGCCCTTTAAAGAGCTGTAGCCAACATGCCTTGGTTTTTTTTGCACTTAACTATGGGCTTGTTTTCATGTACTATCATTAATGAGGCAATTAAAGCACTAAAGATACCATCAGGTGCAGTGACAACCACTCTATTTTAATGATGGATTTACATGGTTCACACCTGAGTTTAAAGGGCCACTAAAGTCACCCAGACCACGTCATCTCAATGAAGTGTCTGGATGCAGTAGTCCTGTAGTTTTAACACTGCAACGTAGAACATTGTAGTTTTGTAGAAATATGTTTTTGTTTACATAGCATGGTTAAACACACTTCTAGTGGCCATCTTCCTGACACTGCAACAACCAAGTTTCCCTTGGTCATGTGATGTTCAACGTCATCACAGACAGCAGCTCATGGGCGCTCGAATCTCATCCCCACTGGACGGGCACTGGATTGGACAATTATCAAGGCAGTGACGCCTCCAGGATGACATAGCATTAGGAGGAGCAAATGACATCACAGACTGAATCTTGGCTCTGGGAAAAAAGTAAAATCTTTTTTCTTCAATTTTGTACAGGATAACATGGGGGGAGTGAGCGGAACAGGTCGAAATTTAAATATGTTTATATTCATAACACTATAGCGTTCCTTTAACATCTGCACATAATTCACATTTGCTTGCAAGGACCCCAGCACTTTGATTAGCCTTTAATAGTTTTCAAGTTTGGAATAAGTCAAAAATGCTGTTTGTTATCACGTCACTGTAAAAGATGTAGTACATACCTGTGCACTTCAGTCCTAATCTGCTCTAGCAAGTTCATGAAATGATTGCCCAGAAACACAACACCTGCATTTGAACATCATGAAGATGTTTTATTTATTTTATTTTAGAGGGGAGAGGGGCTGAATGACAATTCTGACATTATTATTAATTTATGATTGTATTGATTGTTTGTATTGAATTGCTATTTGCATCCACCTGACTTTACCAGTCGGACACATACATATTCAAAATAGACATTTCATCTACACTATGCTATGTTCTTTAGTGTTAAAAGGGATACTATAGACACAATACCCACTACAGCATTTAGGAGTTCCTCTGTTGGTTAGAGGATTGTTGTGATGTATTTTAAGTTTACTTGTTCATATCAATCTACAAAAACTGCTATATTGTGTAGCATTCAACCTTTATACAATTGCATGGTTCTTTTTATTTAAAATTAATTATTTGCCAATATTGAGATGTGGAACCTTTGGGAAGCTACTTTATACGTTTAAATACAAACAATGTTTCATTTTGACAAGATAGTGGTCAAATATATTCTGGGCATTCCATGCATGAAATTAAAGGAGCACTATAGGGTCAAGAACACAAACATATTTCTAACCCTATAGTGTTAAAACAACCATCTACCAGCCCTTTCTTGCCTCCCTAAATATAGTACAATCTTACTTGTATTTAAGCCTGAAGCTGCTGGCTCTGCCCCTGTCTGCCTCAGACCTGCAAGCTGTCTGCTGACATCATCAGAAGTGTTATTCGGAGCCAAATCAGGATTGGCTGAGACTGTGAAGAAGGCAGAACAACAGCAGAGGCAACACAAGTCAAACACAGCCCTGGCCAATCAGCATCTCCTCATAGAGTTTAATTGAACCAATGTAACTCTATAATGAAAGTTCAGTGTCTGCATTCAGAGGCTGGAGTCACTGATATGTTGTGATGCACACTAGGCAAGACAGCTTAAAGGACCACTCTAGGCACCCAGACCACTTCAGCTTAATGAAGTGGTCTGGGTGCCAGGTCCAGCTAGGGTTAACCCATTTTTTTTATAAACATTGCAGTTTCAGAGAAACTGCTATGTTTATAAATGGGTTAATCCAGCCCTCAAATCCTCTAGTGGCTGTCTCATTGACAGCCGCTAGAGGCGCATGCGTGATTCTCACTGTGAAAACCACAGTGAGAACACGCAAGCGTCCATAGGAAAGCATTGTAAATGCTTTCCTATGAGACCGGCTGAATGCACGCGCAGCTCTTGCCGCGCGTGCGCACTCAGCCGAAAGGGAGGAGAGGAGGAGGATCGGAGGCGGAGAGCTCCCCGCCCGGCGCTGGTGAAAGGTAAGTTTTAACCCCTTTCCTCTCCCCAGAGCCCGGCGGGAGGGGGACCCTGAGGGTGGGGGCACCCTCAGGGCACTATAGTGCCAGGAAAACGAGTATGTTTTCTTGGCATTATAGTGGTCCTTTAAGGAAGCAACTCTAGCAGCCATCTGAGGAGTGGCCAGTGAAGTGATCACTAGGCTGTAATGTAAACATTGCATTTTCTCTGAAAAGACAGTATTTACAGCAAAAAGCCTGAAGGTAATGATTCTACTCAACAGAACAAATGCAATAAGCTGTAGTTCTGGTGACTATAGTGTCCCTCTAAGTCTAAACTGATCTTTGGCTTCATCTGTTTCTAAGCATAGGTAGGTAATATGATATCTAGCAGAAAAACTGATAATTGTAGCTGCTGGTGATGACCACAATAGATTATTCTGTTAACTCCACTGGTCCTAAAAGGCCCCACACACTTTGCTTTTATAAAGGAAAAATTCTGCTTATAACTCTATAAGTTTCTACAAAGATGTAGGTCATCACTGGGTATCTATTGCTGCATTTGTTATCCAATAGTTATTTAACTCATGGGCTGGGGCGGCTAAAGATGATCAATGACTGGTTGCGAACTTTGGGGCCACCTATAGAGATCAAAGCTTAAAAATGGCTCTCCAAACAAAAATAGCCATTTCAGCATTGGTCGGTATAGATTAGAATCAAATTTAACACTGTAGAAAAGTAAACCCCATCCTAACTCAATAAGTTTCTTTTGATTAATGACTTAAAGATACAAATTAAAGATATAGCGATCAAAGAAAAGTAACCTTCCTTTTTGAATTCTCATAACAATGCATTTATGGTCCTAATAAAGTGTAGCCTTCACAAAATGCATAGACATTTATTAATCTTTTCACTGTTGATGTGAAAGGAGATCTGGTTCCCTTTGTAAGTAGTGCATATTTCAATGCCCTAATGGGCAAATAAAGAACAAAACAAAAATTTTAAGAAATTTGCTAGAAGATGATATTAATTTTGAAACTGTTGTATTGGCAGACAATGTCCTTAATTCAGAACCAGCTGCTGTGAGCTCTGTATTATTTTTATTGTTAATTGGAATACAAATGAAATGTGTGCCACAGGTTAAACTGTCATCAGAAAGGTATTGAAAACATTTTTGTGAGTGATGTCCTGGTGACCCCATTTAGTCCAAGAGATCAACATGCCGATGAAGCAAATAACCAGCATGTGTTTATCTGCAAGATAACTTCTTACATTTATCTCTGTCCTCTCACAGACCTTCACAATGTGATACAGAGATGAAAATAAGGGAATGTAGACTATTAAAGCAGGAATTGTTTTATCAGACAAATAGATTTTCTATCTATTAATAGCTCTTATATGTAACTTTCCACTTCTGTATAGCCTCCATTAAATCAGACTCTTCTACATAGACACGGGCAAAATTGAGTTTTTTCCCCCAATTACCGTCAGTGAGTAATATTTATATTATAGGTTTTGTATAACCAACTGCCGCATTGTGATAATTATTAGCACGTGTATTGCTTGACGGCTCTTGCCTTTACATACCGTATGTGATAACAAGTTGTTTCATTAATTTTCATACATTTCATACTCATCTAGGATCAATGTTGTGACAGCTTCGATAGAATAATAATATCCAGAAATGGAGAGGAAGTCCGCTATGTGGGTGTAAATTAAACAGGCTGTGTTTTGGTTCTGTCTGTTTAATTGTACTGAATGACGTGTGCTTCTGTGAAACATGGTGACAACACTAATAACCTTGGGAAAATTTGAATCAATGGAATATTAGAATCTTGTAAAATCTAAAAATGTAATATTCCGTTATGTAATACATCTACACGATTTGTAAAAAAATGTTTTGCATTATAATAGCCTAAACACTCAGGAAACAGGGTTAAAGGGACACTATAGGCACCTAGACCACTTCAGCTTATTGAATTATCTTTGAATTCACTATCAATTCCACATTGATCATAAGTGAATAACCCTTATGTGTTTCTCTATCTGAAACTATGTGTACTTTATTTGTATAACATGAAATGTAGATCACCCAGTGCTGTAGAACTACCCCCTCCTATACCCCATGATCCTACAGCTAAAAAGTGTTTTGCGATAATCTGCGAGAGGAGGCAGAAGGGCCGAACAGACAGGAGATGAGAAGATAGTTTAGGGGTAAACCATTCAAAAATGGTTTAATCCTATATGTTAAAATGGCACCCAGGACATACAGACCCCATAATAACCTAATTCCTAGTTAAATGTATTGACTTAATACATGCATTTGTGCTGCTCATTTTTGGCAAAAGCATTTTATATCGTAATAAATTATAATTTGTAAATACATGGGGCTTAATTATAATAAATAAATACTCCAGAGGAAAGTAATGTAAACACCCTCCTAGATTGCCCAACAACTTCTCTCTAGAATGACTATTCTCCTATTAAACATAAGGATGCATATTACATAGCAGCGTAATAATACATCATATCAATTTATGGCATGGCTCCCACATATATGCACACCTCACTCATCAATTTAACAGATGACATGTTTACTGTACGGTTCGTTAGCAAGCACATTCTTGGCGTAATGAAGCCAGTACAACATAATCATATACTTCAGTGGATTGGAGTGTTATGTAAAAGAAAGGTGATAAAGCAAGACGCAACAGATTCATAGAAAAACACATGCAACATTTCTCTGACTTTTCTGTCTCCTCTAAATCTGATTCTTCAGAAACTGCACATAACTTAAGAAATCTGCCATTCTCAGTGTCACGAACGTGTGATATTACAGCGATACAGTACATAATAAACAAGAGGTTCTTAACCCCCTTTTTTGTCTTCTTTTTTTTTTGTGGGTTCCAAACTACATACGTGGAGTTTGCATGGCTTCTCATCTTTCAGTTGCAATACATTCCAAAGTAAATTCTACAAAACACTTTTATTATAATCTTTCTGATAAGGCTAAATCTGCACGGTTAAATGCAGTGCTGCTACAACAGATACTGTATCGTGATCTGTTAAATGGACTCTAATCAATATGCTGTATCTGTTCCAACCAACAGCAAGCCCTGAAATTGCAAGAGGTCCATTTTTGGATGCAAGAGTTTAACCCCTTAAGGACACATGACATGTGTGACATGTCATGATTCCCTTTTATTCCAGAAGTTTGGTCCTTAAAGGACCACTCTAGGCACCCAGACCACTTCAGCTTAATGAAGTGGTCTTGGTGCCAGGTCCAGCTAGGGTTAACCCATTTTTTCATAATTATAGCAGTTTCAGAGAAACTGCTATAATTATGAATGGGTTAAGCCTTCCCCCTAATCCTCTAGTGGCTGTCTCATTGACAGAGGCGCTTGCGTGCTTCTCACTGTGATTTTCACAGTGAGAGCACGCAAGCGTCCATAGGAAAGCATTGTAAATGCTTTCCTATGCGACGGGCTGAATGCGTGCGCAGCTCTTGCCGCGCGTGCGCATTCAGCCGGCGGGGAGGATCGGAGGCGGAGAGGAGGAGGAGAGCTCTCCGCCCAGCGCTGGAAAAAGGTAAGTTTTTACCCCTTTCCCCTTTCCAGAGCCGGGCGGGAGGGGGTCCCTGAGGGTGGGGGCACCCTCAGGGCACTATAGTGCCAGGAAAACGAGTATGTTTTCCTGGCACTATAGTGGTCCTTTTAGGGGTTAAAACTACTGCTTTATAATTGTCAATCTTCTTCTTTGCCCACCTACCAGGATGGAGGTGCACAGGGGAGAGAGCATGCTTTATGTTTTTGCTTACCCTGAATAATTATTTAAAGGAATCACTATATATACCATATAATGGGAGGAGTCCTAAAGTTTATTAAGCGGCTCAAAAGCCCACATTTAGGTCCAAAGGCTATGTAAAATAAACATGTAATATACATGTGTTGTTTTGATCAGAGAAATATAGTCCACTTTGATTACCAATTACAGGTACGTTGAGTTTCACAGTGGATTTTTATTTTATTTTATATTTTGAAAGATCTTCAACTTATTTTTCTACATTTCTTATATATTTCAAAGAAATTGAAGAAAAAAAACTGTAGCGTCGCTAGCCGTACCTTTACAGGCGTCAGGTGCAGAGAAGGGAATTTTCAAATCTCGGAAGAAGCCTGGCTTGCAATTCTGACAGTGGATCCCTTCTGTGTTGTGTTGACAATTGTCACACACCCCTCCACTCCGGTTCCCTGAAGAGATCCATACATCCAGGCTAAAGTGACAGCTGTCCGCGTGATCATTACATTTACACTCTGAAAAGCATAACAAAGCATTTGATTACTAGCAAGATAAAAACAAACTATACAATCCTCCGATGTTCTTCTCCAATGTGGTTACAGACAAGCAATATTCCTTGCATGAGAAACTGGTAATCCCATTGCAAACACCAATACAATGTAAAATACATGTACATGTTGTGTAACAACCACGGCCCATATTATAAACTACCAATGTATCATACAAAAGGGAACATGTTTTAAGAAACTTGTGCTAGGTTTTGCTATAGTGTACTACTCCTCATTGCAGATATCTCGGGGTAACAAGAGCCATGTTCAATACATATTGTAAATGTGAAAATAAAATTCAATAATTAATTCTAGTAATACTTTTTAGAAATTGTAGTTTGCAAATGACACAGATCTATTGGAATTATCACAGTGTGGTCCTCTTACAATGTTTTTATGCTTTATGATATTTTTGCATATGTAGGTCAATGGGTCTTGGTATTTCAGACACCTGTTTAGAACCACAATACCTAAAATTTAGTAGCGACAGTGTATTTTACTGTTAAATGGCAAATTAAGGAGAGAGTCAGTGGTACTAGATTATAAACACTGGTTACTAAATAAGGGGTAATGGGCAAAAACGAAAGAACTAAATGATGTGCAAAACTAATAAAACCTTATATCAGACTATTTTAAACATTCTAACAAATTATATTCTAAAAAACATGCTGTCTGCATATTTTATAGCAGTTATCCTGAACATTATCTGCTCTGTGGACTGCTTACAACTACATAACTAACATTGTATATGTTCGGAATAACTCGAAAACCATATAATGGTTAATGAAGTGAGGATATGAATAGTTGCTTTAACCAATGGCCCAGATCTATTAAACTGAAGTAACTATTTGTGTTAAGGTTTGAACATTTAGAATCATGATTTGCACTGTAAGAGAGTTTATAGAAACCGTGGCAATGAAGAACACTAAGGCAGATGGTTCTGAATTCTTAGGTTGGAATCAAAAATGGATTCCAATGTCCTCCACTGGTAGGAAGAGGTATAGAATAATTTTAGGGCCACTGGCAATTACCCACAATAAACACTGAAAACACCTAAAACTTGTGTAAGTCATTTTTCACAAGACATTTTCTTTTAAATTTGTATTAAAGATTTTGTAAATTGCATAATATTGCAATTCATACAAGGCAAAGATAGGGCAAAAAATACTAACGAGGAGGAAAAATGGAAACATTGCTTCATTTCTCCTCTTCTGTAGACTCTCTCATTGCTAACTGCCATAAGGACAAAAGTTATCACAATGACTGCCATGGAGCTAAAATGGAGACGCCGAGGTGCAGGATAAAGAGGTGTTAGATTTCTACATTTACTTTTATTTTTCACTCCCCAAAAATACACATTTGCTAAATATAGAGGTAAGTAACCATACTATTAAAAGTCCTGAGAAGTGACCGTTTTCATTTAATTAATGGTTTGTCAAACTAATGCCATTACATAAATTAGGTCCCTTAATAATCAGGTAAGGAACAACTGACCAAAAGCATACAGATCTTCTTTAGGTTGTGTTGATGTTTAAAAGTCTTTATAATAATGATATCATTTTGGGTGATGGCAAAACGTTTTATGCCTCCAACGCCCTAACTCTTCCTATTTTTAAAAACAATATACTATAGAACAAAAGATTCTAAAGTGATTCAAAATGAGCAGCCACTTAAGAAGAGGAGGACAGGTGCAAGTAGCAAATAACGATGTTCTAAGTACATACAAGATAGAACTGACGCAAGTACAAACTTGCTATTAAATGTTAATGCTACACTTTTTTATGTCTCTTGATTTATTTAAAAACAAATTTAAGGGGTATGTTAAACACAACAGCAAGTATTCTTGGCCGTCATGCAATCTGAAATATGCCTCATATTATGAGGATTTCTCAAGGTTAAATGGTAACAATGTATTCCATAAATATCTCATCTTGAAGGTTCCATGACAAAAACAAAAAACATATTGATGCTACATTATGAAATTGTGCAAGTTAAATAATGAAAGTACATAGGGTCTTTTGCAAAAAAAAAAAAATGGAATAAAAATAATAATGTTTTGAGAACTCTTCAAGGCAATTCGAGGAACTAAAACAGTTTGCAATTCTTTTTACATTCTACGGCAGAAAATTCAAATTTTTTATGAAATATTTTGTAAACGGTTTCTGCTGAAGGCTGCAAGACACATTAATACTTTCAGACTCATGTTGCACAGGTGAAAAGGCTGCTTATACGGAATTCGATTTTATAATTTCACCATATTTGGTAATGGTTCCTTACTTCTGCACATGTTGGGTGCCCCGGTGTTTCCATTTGCTGGTTGCCATGGCTGATCATTATAAAGAGGAGCACAGCGTTCACAATTCGGACCAGATGTATTGTGCTTGCAGATGCACTTTCCGTACACCTAAAAAAAAAAAACGCAAAACACAATATGATGAACGTTTCATGGTTCAAACTGAACTACTCATCCTCACAAGAAATGTTATGATTTAAATCACAATCGGTATTATTTTCAATAATTTCAATATAAACCATTTATAAAAGGAGCTGAAGGATTTCAATTAGATTGAGACTTTTTTTGGCTACTTATTATTGTTGCATTCTTCTGGATCAGGCTATAGGAAAGCAGAGTCTGGTCCTGCTGTTCGTGCCCCCCTCCTTTCAATTATCCCTCCAGTGCAGTTCAGTGCTCGCAGCTGGTAAGAAGTGACAGGCTCTGCATGTGTGTCATTATGTATCAGTGTTTGTGTATCTGCATGTGTGTCAGAATTTGTAGCTGTGTGTCTGTATCTCTTTGTCAGTGTATCTGCATGCGTGTCATTGTGTGTTTCTGGGTGTCTGTTTGTACCTGTGCATCTGTATCTGCGTGTGTATCAGTGTATGTTCCTGGGTGTCTGTGTATGTGTGTGTCAGTTTGTACCTGTGTGTATGTATCTGCATGTGTATCAGTGTGTGTTTCTGTGTGTCTGTGGCAGTGTATTTGTACATGAGAATACATTTCAGCTTTCAAACGTCAACACTACACACAAACACTCCATACAAAAACATGCTGACATTCAAACACAAAAACAATGCTCATTGCTAAATACAGCCCCGCAAGGTTGGGCAAATAGTAGATTCCCAGTTTGCAAAACATTGAGGGAGTTGTACCTTTGCTATGAGGCAGGGGGAATTGTTGTACCAGAGTCCTCTCTAGGATAGCTCCGCCACTGTGCATTGATAAACACCTCTATAATTAATTATCTTTAAATATAACCTTTATTGTCCCTAGAAATGTGTTTTGTTTTTTTTTGTTACCTGGCATACCTTTCACCCCCAAATTCTAAAATATTTCTTACAGGGTCTGTCTGAGATAGGGAATCTATCGTTCAAAAAACAGAGCCAAGAGCTTTGTTTACATCAAAAGACATTCATGAAATATGCTTCATTGCAGGGATCACACAGTATGTTCTATTTATCATGAAATGTCTCAGAAGCCCATCCAAACATTTAGTACTTGCGATACAGTATCAGCTGAAAATGAAACCTTGAAAATAATACATTAAAATATTTCAAATGAAAACGTTTAAATGCTTTGAAGAACAGAGTACACAAAGAGACACAGATCCCGCACCAAATAAAAAAAAGTAACTCCACGCACCACAAACAACTATACTCCCTGTGTTGGTGATAAATAATGCCATCTGTTGCACAAAATTACTAAGAAAGCCCAAAATGGAGTTGGTTACCACTTGCAAATCTTAAAGTTTATAGAGTGAACACTGCAACATGAGGAAGAAGCTTAAATCTCTGAGCTAATCCTGGCCAACCAATTAGTTTGTTTGTTTGTTTTTTAGACTGCTGAGCATATCCCATGAATCTATATGTAATTAAACACTCTGCAGAATGTTCATTTGCACATTCCCTTATACATAATTATGAGAGAGCCTGTCCGAGGTGGTGGGGGACTTGTGTAGTACAGCGCTACGGAATCTGATGGTGCTATATAAATAATAAAATAACAATAATAGTATGCTCCCATAATATCCACATATGACATTCAGTGCAGGTACATGTACGGGCAGTGGACAATGTTTCTAATGCCTGTGATATATTTCATTGGGGAAGCTTATAGTTGCAGTAATTTTTGAAGATAAAAGTTTAGAAACAGGACTATAGATAATACTGATCATTCAGCCTACTGTAATTGTTCAACAAATCAGAAGTCATGAAATTGCGTAAATCAGTTTCCTTTGAAAAACCTACATATAATATATATATATATATATATATATATATATACACAAACACACTTTGTAGTACATCAGTGGTGTACATTTTTTGTAGTATGTCAGTAGAGAACTTTTGGTTGTATATCAGTGGAGTACATTAAGTAGTGTGTCAGTGGAGTACTTTTTGTAGTGTGTCAGTGGAGTACTTTTTGTAGTATGTCAGTGGAGTACAATGTGTCAGTATAGTACTTTTTGTAGTATGTCAGTGGAGTACTTTTTGTAGTATGTCAGTGGAGTACAATGTGTCAGTGGAGTACAATGTGTCAGTGGAGTACTTTTTGTAGTATATCAGTGGAGTACTTTTGGTAGTGTGTCAGTGAAGTACTTTTGGTAGTGTGTCAGTGAAGTACTTTTGGTAGTGTGTCAGTGAAGTACTTTTGGTAGTGTGTCAGTGGAGTACAATGTGTCAGTGGAGTACTTTTTGTAGTATATCAGTGGAGTACAATGTGTCAGTGGAGTACTTTTTGTAGTATATCAGTGGAGTACTTTTTGTAGTATGTCAGTGGGGTACTTTTGGTAGTGTGTCAGTGGAGTACTTTTGTAGTAAATCAGTAGTGTGCTTTTTCTGATACACCAGCAGTGAAGGTTTTGAGTACACTTGTGGTGCACTTTTTATAACCAAACCAAATAGGACCTTTCTCATCCATTTTATGCAAAGTCAGGGGAACCTACATCATTCTCCACTGCCTATTGGAGAACATAAAATAAATTTTTAAAGATTTATTTTATTCTTATTCTTTAATATAAAGATTCTATTGTCTTTGGAATGACCACCTGACCTAATAACTGCGCAGAATGTATAAATATGTTACTAGAAAATCAGCTATCATAAGCTTTTGTATAAGATTTGAATGTACTCTAGTATAATATAAATAAAATAGCAGGTAACATGTCACTTCCCATTTCATAGTTTAGTGAATAGATCACAAAGATACACACTGTAACCAGGAAGAATGACCTTGCATGGAAAAATATATGGCCTTGGGTGTGGGTTCCTGACAGACACATACAAATGTTTACACTCACTGTAAGTAATTCATGATTGCTGTGTAGCTGTAAGATTTTAATGGCTCTCAGCTCCCCTGCCAGAGTGTTAGTCCAACTAGATTTATGGGAATTTACCTTTCCCCTACAACATGATTAGAACTATGATCATACACAAACCGCTGTTTCCTGGACAGATTTTTGTCTTAACAGTAGATCAAAGTCTCCATTACGGTCTCCTTGCACTCATTACCGCCCCATAAAGTAAGTTTTCATCTCTGTGCCCTATTGATCTCAACACAATATCATAAATGTCGTACAAGGAATACATATCTATCTATATATATGCTGCGAAAAGCCAACTTTATTGATGGTAAAGAACCATCATTGCTCCTTAAGGTGTTAACGATATCTCTATATCGCTTACTGAACTTGATCCCAGACCTGCTACAGTCAATCCCTGTTACAGTCTAACAATGCATGCCATTACATCTAAACCAGGGGTGTCCAATAGGTCGATCCTCACATGTTGTAGGACTACAATTCCCATGATGCTTTGCATGTCTTTAGAATGAAAACGTATCATAGAAGCTGTAGTTGTAAAACATCTGGGGGTCTAATTTGGGCACCGCTTTCTAAGCCATTTAACCTGTACCCTCGAAGGGCCAGAGTCTTTGGACTCCTCAATATTGATACAAATTTGCACAACATTTTTAAAGGACCACTATAGGCACCCAGACCACTTCAGCTTAATTTAGTGGTCTGGGTGCCAGGACCAGCTAGGTTTAACCCTTTTTGCAGTAAACATAGCATTTGCTATGTTTCCAAAGGGTTAATCCAGCCTCTAGTGGCTGTCTCAATGTCAGCCGCTAGAGGTGCTTCCACGCTTCTCACTGTGATTTTCACAGTGAGAAGATGCCAGCGTCCATAGGAAAGTATTGATAATGCTTTCCTATGAGACTGGCTGAATGCGCGGGGCTCTTGCCGATCATGCGCATTCAGCCGATAACTGAAGAAGAGGGAGGAGAGTCCCAGTGCCGAGGGAGCCCGGCGCTAGAAAAAAAAGGTAAGGGATTAACCCCTTCCTCCCCCTTCAGTGCCACGGGAGTGGGACCCTGAGGGTGGGGGCACCCTCAGGGCACTTTAGTGCCAGGAAAACGAGTATGTTTTCCTGGCACTATAGTGGTCCTTTAAACACCTACTTCCCAAGCTGCCGTGAGAGAGCTGATATGTGTTGAACCCTCTGTGAACTTATTCATTCAGTGAACTTTTTAAAAGTGGAAGTTAGTCTCTAGAGCTTGGCACAGAATAGTCCTCCAGTTCACATGACATTCCATGGAGTTTAAGGGGAAATGCAGTGCCTCTCACACTGCTGGACGAGCCCTTGACTCAGAGACTGGCATCCGTTTCTTCTGCATAATTCCAATTCATCAGAAAGCAACTCACGAGTGCGAATAGAGACAGGGCAGCACTGTGCTTATTCCTCAGGATTTCCTACCTCAACTTTCTCATATTGTATGGTAAAACATAAACAAAGGACTAATCGAAATTACAAGGCTGTAAAGGGACAATCCATTCACAGTTTTAATCAGCATGTAAAAAATGCAAATAATCTTAGAATAGGTAATCCAATTTAAAAAAAAAATGTCATGGTGGTAAATTAGTTAAAAGTACTTATTTTGTCAAATAGACTGTATATAAATAGTGTATAGCTAGTACAGTATCTCACATAAGTATTACACATTTTATGTATTTTTGTAATTATTATTATTATATCTTTTCATGTGACAACACTGAAGAAATGACACTCTATTACAATGTAAAGTAATTAGGGTACAGTCTGTATAACAGTGTAAATGTCCCTTCAAAATAACTCAACACACAGCCATTAATATCTAAACCGTTGGAAACAAAAGTGAGTACACCCCTAAGTGGAAATGCCCAAAGTGTCAATATTGACGACCACTGCCTTGCTAAAGAAGCTGAAGGTAAAGGTGATGGACTGGCCAAGCATGTCTCCAGACCTAAACCCAATTGAGCATCTGTGGGGCATACTCAAATGGAAGGTGGGGGAGAGCAAGGTCTCTAACATCCACCAGCTCTGTGATGTCGTCATGGAGGAGTGGAAGAGGACTCTAGTGGCAACCTGTGAAGCTCTGTGAAGCAGTGCTGGAAAATAATGGTGGCCACACAAAATATTGACACTTTGGGCCCAATTCAGACATTTCCACTTAGGGGTGTACTCACTTTTGTTGCCAACGGTTTAGACATTAATGGCTGTGTGTTGAGTTATTTTGAGGGGACAGCAAATTTACACTTTATACAGGCTGTACACTTACTACTTTACATTGTAGCAGAGCGTCATTTTTTCAGTGTTGTCATATTAAAAGATATAATAAAATATTTACAAAAATGTGATGGGTGTACTCACTTTTGTGAGATACTGTATATATCACATAGCTATATAATTCTGAACTAAGCAGTTTCATGCAGTCTCACACTGTAATTGGACATTTAAGGGACATAAACTCACAAATTATTTTTTTTTTTTTTTGTTAATGAGAAAATGTATGTGAGCGCATCAGTGAGTGTGAGTCTGTCAGTAAGTCTTTTTAGGTACCTGGCCCCACTCTGACCTCATGGGAAAGGTGTTTTTACTCACGTCCCCCCCCCCCCACATCATGGGGGTGGAAAACTGAGTGACTGCCACTAGAGGTGTTACTAGCAGCAATGTAAACATACATTGCTCAGCCTACAGTGACAGGCTATAGACATACATTAAAGGGACACTATAGGCACCCAGACCACTTCAGCTCATTGAAGTGCTCTGGGTGCATATTCCTGGGTGCATATTACCTGGAAAGGTAATTATTGCAGTTTTTAATAAACTGCAATAATTATCTTTATGGGTTAACTTCACCTCTAGTGGCCGTCTACCGTACAGCCACCAGAGGGACTTCCTCATGCATAGCAAAAAGTCGCCTAACGACCTGGATGTCCAGCGTAACCCGAAACCTCATAGGAAAGCATTGTATAATGCTTTCCTATGGGGCTGTTCTAATGCTAGCGTGGGCATTTCCGCACATGCACATTATGTCTACTCCACAATCTGACGGCGGGGGAGGAGAGAAGGAGGACCCCCAAGCCAGTTACAAGGGACATTGGTGCTGGAATCAGGTAAGTGATAGAAAGGGTTTTTAGCCACTTCTGGACCATGGTGAAGGGGGTGGGGGCATTATAGAGACACCAGAATCATTACATTAAACTGTAGTAGTTCTGGGAACTATAGTGTCCCTTTAACACATGCACTGACCAGCCACAACTTTAAAACGCAATGACAGGTGGAGTGCATGACATTAATTACATCATTACAATGGCACCTGTCAAAAGGTGAAATATATCAGGGAACAAGTGAACAGTCAGTTCTTTAATTTCATGGGCAAAAATAGGCAAATGAAAAGATGACATGGGCCAGATAGTAATGGCTAGATGACTGGGTCAGGGCATCTCCAAAAAAGCAACTCTTGTGGGGTTAGTACCCAAAAGTGCTGCAAGGAAGGACAACCGGTGCTCATTGATGCACCTGGGGAGCAAAGGCTAGCCTGTCTGGTCCGATCACACAGAAATGCTACCATAGTTCAAATTGCTGAAAAACCTTGGATCCTGGCATCCATGTGGATGTTACTTTGACATGTGCCACTTACCTAGAGATTGTTGCAGACCATGAACACCACATAGCAATTTTGTTCCCTGATGGCAGTGGCCTCTTTCAGCAGGATAATGTACCCTGCCACACTGACAAGAATTGTTCAGGAATGCTTTGAAGAACATTACAAAGTGTTCAAGGTGTTACCTTGGCCTCCTAATTTCCCAGAACTCAATATTGCCAAACAGTTTATTGTCTGAGTCTTACCATAATCTCTTTAAATATGCAAGGCCATGACACTAGCGATACCCACTAGACATTCACAGATGACCCATAAGCTATGGACTCCACTGCTCCTTTATTGCAGAGGCCCACTCAGTTTGCACCAATTCGCAACACACTGGACATCTGAATGAACTCCTTGGGAACCTACAGCAATGAGAGTATCCCCCACTTCATCATAAGATACAAGTCAATGTGCGTTTATTTTGGAGCCCACAGGTTCAATATGTATGTACATCCACACATTTTCACATGTTGCTCAGGATTTGAGGGTAGTATTTGGACAGGCTTAAATCCTGAAGACACTTGGGTCCATTCAGATGCTGAATGCTGAAATCTCTGATAAGTACTGTGAGCAATGTCTGGATTTGAATGCCCCAGGATGGTAAAAGGTTATTTTTGCTAATCAGGACTGGGTGTATTAAGATATTACTTAGTTAATAACACTGCAATTACATTTCTTGCCCGTATTTATAAATTAATGAGCAGCTGAACAGATTTACCTAACAAAAGAGGCCACTTGGTGTGTGACAAAAAAATAAATTTTTTTTTTTAAAGTGCATATTAAACACACATTATATATACACAGTTATTCTCACACACTAATGTATGGCAACATGATAGAACTTGTAATTTGACTTGTGATCCAAGGTTCTGCAGTGGGTTGAAAGAAGACCATGGCGTTTTGTGTGACATCATTGGATCTGACAAATAAATGTCAGCAGGTAAATTAGCCCGTGATTATAGATAGATACAATCAGTGAATACAACATCTCTCCCAGCTATGCTCCTGGCTTCAGATGGCTTTTCACTGTCACGCGAGAGCTCTAACTAGATTAACAGCAACTTAATAGCTACTTGTGAAACCATCACACAGTGAATTACCTCTTCCACCCAGACAAATGACTAGAGATAAGAGATTTTGGGGTAAGAGCTAATGTTATTACATAAAAGAATACCCATTCTCAATTTATCTCCTGGATTACTCGTCCTTGGTGACACCTTTCCCTAAATTTGGCCCAACAATAGCACAGTGCTCTGTGTTTTGTTTTCATTTTTTATTTGCATCATGTACCAGGCTGTCCTAGCACACAAAGCATACAATACAAATGTGTTAAGCCCATGTGGGGTCATGTTTGTACAAGCCATAAGAGTGCATGTTCTTGCGACCACTTATTTAAACAGATACCCCTGCTGCATTATGAAGCAATGAAATCACCTGAACAGGTAGGTGTGTTTTATACGGAATAATTTTCTTATTAATGAAAAAAAAAAAAAATTATATCAAACTCATAAAAAAACAACAACTCATTATCTTTGTCAAGGCACCTTACATGTTCCTTTAAATAGTTTAAATACACAAAACTGTGTACTCACCACCTGCACTTTGCTTGTTGTCCTTGCTTGTCGGACTCCTTCTATCGGGACACAGTGATCTGCATGTCCATTGCAGAAACAACTGCCCTTAACAATAAAATCATAGACTGCATAGTGGGCCATATACTGGGGTTTAATATCTGGATCCTTGTTCTTGCAGGGACATATCTGTTGTTTCAGCAACTGCACGCGAAGGTTAGTGATCATGAGTTGGTCTTGTGCTTCTTCGCTGTAAGGATCGTCAGAGGAATAAGGACTAGACATAGCTCGATAGATCACCTGCAGAAACAAGAACACACATGCAGGTTAATTTAACAGGACACGTATGGTTAATAATTAAACATGCGCATAAATATAAAATTTATGTCTAGGAGCTTGCAAACGTTGAAATGCAAATATGAAACCAGTTTGTTCAAATATCATAGTAATGAGAATTGATGCAAAGTATAAAATGATTATTATTGCATGGTTTGTTAATGTACCCAGGGATAGTTAATGGTGTTAGGTTGGCAGCCTCTCTGGGTAATTCAGTTACACAATTCACACTTCGCAATACATTATATATATATATATATATGTGTGATATCAAAAGGTTGCACTCACGGATTCCTTAAAAATTAACTTTTAATCGGTCTTGTTTAAAAAAATCAACGTTTCAGTCCTACTTGAGGACTTTCATCAGGATAATCATTTCATTATCCTGATGAAAGTCCTCAAGTAGGACTGAAACGTTGATTTTTTTAAACAAGACCGATTAAAAGTAAAGTTTTAAGGAATCCGTGAGTGCAACCTTTTGATATCACTATTTGGATGTTTGGAGCCCTGGGAGTGCACCCGGTTTGGGAATTGGAGTATGAGTTCAAGGTACAGTGACTTTTATATATATATATAACCCCATATATATAACGAATATCAAGTAAGGAATCCTCTGATGAGATGAAATATAAACATTTTATTAAAGGAAGCAGATATTTTTCCAGTTATATTATCCCTCCCTTCCATTTTATTAAACATTAATTATGTGTTCAGCTAGTTGAGGAGGTTATAACTGCTGCTAACAGTACACATTGTTTTTAATGTGCTTCCTAGTTTTACATTCAGGATAGAAAATTAAGAGCTTGTGAGTTTAAAAGAGCATTCTAATCTACTACAGTGCATTGCTATAAATCTATTGTTGCCACCCAAGATTGGACCAATTTGATAATAATGTGGAAGTGTAATTTCTTAAATACCAGTACAAATACTTAGAAGTAAGCTGTGTGTGCTGGAATGTTCCCCATTGGAGCAAGTAGACATTAAACTCTGGGTGGCAGCCATATACTCATAGCAATATAAGCACTGCAATGAGCTATAATTGTTATTGTCTTTAGCATTGAAAATAATTCTAAAAGATAACATTCACTCATAAGCAGATCCCTAATCACATTTTCTGTCATGCAATGTCATTAATTTTTTTTTTTTTTTTTTCAAAGTATTTTATCTGAAAACAAGTATACACATAGGACAATGGGAGATAATTATATATTGTTTGGAATGGAAAAGGCAATAAAGATGATCATAAAAACTAACAACTGTATGAAGGGATGTAACAAAGTTACAAAGCAGAAGAGGAAGGCATTTTGGTAACAGCCCTCTGAATGAAGTAATTGCCCCCTGCCCTCCCATAGATAGAGGCATTTTTAACAAAAAGACAAGAACAAAATGCAGGTAATGACAGAAATAGCCTGCATGGTTCCAAAAAGCCAGTAACAAACAACCATAGACTCACTATAAAGGGATTAAACTTGCACATTTTAAAATATACAGACAATATCAACAGCCAACACAACTCTCATTAGGTTGGCTTTGCATTATGGGAAGTAGAGTTTGTGAAGCATTACAGAGATTAGGATTGTCAGCAATAGACAAAACATGTCATTTACTTTTTCCTCATTAGTCTACAATTCCACTTTTTATGTTCCCAATTCATATTTCCAGGTTAATTCATTAAGTGTCTGTTACCCACAAATAAACCCAAACTGAGTGGCCAGAATTTGACTCTGGTGAATATAACTCTGAGCCTGTAGTTTCCATGGAAACAGTTTATAAATGTTTGTAACTCTTGACAGCACAATACCAAATTTGATTTAGGGGGACATCTGGAAACAACATGTAAACACAACGAGTTACTCCAGTGTGACACAGGCACACCTGGTTGATGGGTACCATGTTGGTTAACCCCATTTATTCTTAAATAACTTGCCCCGGGGAAGTATTTAAGCAATGCAGTTTACACCCTTTCTCATGTTTTCAGATACCACCTGTGGCTGTGCTACGATAAGACAGTAATAATAATATATAGTAAACAGTTTAGCATAATGTGTATTTTTATTTTCAAATCTTTTGTTTTGTTCTAAATGTTTACATTCAAACTTTAAATTCTTCTATTGTGGCCAGCCTAAGGCACACATGTGCAATAATCATGCCGTCCAATCAGCATCTTGATATGCCACATCTGTGAGGTGGATGGATTATCTCGGCAAAGGAGAAGTGCTCACTAACAGATTTAGACAGATTTGTGAACAATATTTGAGAGAAATAGGCCTTTTGTGTACATCGAAAAAGTCTTAGATCTTTTAGTTCAGCTCATGAATAATGGGGGCAAAAACAAAAGTGTTGCGTTTATAAATTTGTTCAGTGTATTTATCCATCTTTGTACAGACACACGCTAAGCGTTGCTTAGAGCAAAAACAATGACAATTTGCAACTTCTCATTACAAGTGAAGTGATTTTCTATTTATTATGTAATAACTGAATTTAATCGTTTATTTTGACTGAATAGCATTCACACTTTTCATTATCTGAGTCTTTTGAAGATAGTGGATCAGCTTTTTCAATAAACAGGTGGTTTTTGATTACTTAAGAATGCATGTCCCATTAACACATTTCCTAAACCTGCCCACCTCAATTTCCAGGTAAAGTATTGGAAACAAATACAAATGCATAGTTAATCGGCTAATATTTCAAATTCTAGCTCTGGCAGTGTTGCACAAATTTGTTCAACCTTTTTATTGATACATGTCTTCATAAATAAAAGATTTCAGCAAGCAACATTCATTTTTTAAATTTCTATATTTAATATGGCATCGCTTAATGGTAAACACTATTGAGAAAAAATGCTCCCTAGGTGATCTGTGCAAAATCAGTAAAAAGGTAAATAAACCCTCATAGGGACACTCCACACACCTAATGCTTTCTGTATGAAGAGAGAGTGCTTTTTTTCATTTTACAAAAAGTGCAGATTTCAATTGAAATTTACACTTTTATAAATGAACCTTGTTACACCCCCAGAGCCGTCAATCAGAAAACCGGTCTGGTTACTTCCTGGTTGTTTTGCTCAGAGGTATCCAGGATATCCACAGTTTCAAAAGATTATAATGGGAATGCTAGAAAGTCAGCTAGATCCAAGTTTGAGCAGAGTTCATTGAAGAAAGCTGGAATCTCTGGGGTTTTACAGTTAACTACTTCAAGACACTTTTTTCAGGTTTAGATTCATATGTATATTTTTCAATGATTATCCATTAAATATTTAAAACTAATGTGTTATCTAAAGCCTGTAGTGTCCCTTTAAAAAGAAACAACGACCAAGAAGATTTGACTGAATTTTTATGAACCCTTGCTAGTTTGAGAACTGTTTTTCTTACCTAAGGCTTAATACGTTACAGTTATATTTTAATAACAGCTGGTGGCTTGCCTGACGAAAATAAAAATTCACATTGTTAGTATAACCTGGAGCCACAATTCTTATTTGTGTTAGAAATTACAGGGTTTTTTAATGGTTTTTTTTATTAAGACATAGGTCATACTTCATTAATACAGGACACATGGGAAAATGGAAGAAAAACCCCAAAAGTGCGACATATATCCAGAGTCAAAACGTCTACTAAGAATTCAATTGTTACAGAGAAATAACTGACACTATAATTCTGTGTAAGTTAGAACGTGTCTAGATCCCTTTATCTAGCCAGACAAGAAGGAATGGAATTCGGCATTGGAATGTTATGTACAGTTCAGATTTGTTTTCCTACCTTATCTGTACAGGTTCTCAGAAATGTTCACTTGCACTTAATTATAATGTAATCAGTTAAATTGATAAAACAGAAGGAAGGAAAACAAATTCTCACTTGGGATTATATAACATTTCGAAGGAACGTGTAAAAAACTAATTTTAAAAAAATTTTTTTTTTTTTTTTTTTAATTATTAAAACACAACATTGTTAAGTATTTGTCACTTGCCTAAACAGAAAAAAATCAACACTATGCCATAATGTGTTATACCCCCAGGTGTCCAGCTTTGTACCAACAAATCAGCGCCCACAAGGGTCATCGAGGCAGGCACAAGTTATCTAAACTGTGAAAAAGGCGAACAGAAATACCCTAAGCTTTTTGAGAAGGCAAATTGCTGAAGCCATGGCACATGCATCAACTTCAGAAAAAAAATTTATTACTCTAAAACTCATTGGGCTACTCAGACCATATAAAACTACCAAGAAAACTTAAAGAACCATTATAATGAACCACAGTCCTTATGGTTCTTAGGGGGCCCTTTAAAATGACAAATGTCAACGACACAAATTCTATGTTTAAAAAATATCGCAAATATGAACAGATGTTTTGCTTTTCCAAATCAAGAGCAGAATTCTATGAAGGTCAGTAGTTGTTGCTATATTCCCGATGAACGGTTGATAAATTACACGGATGGCTTCTTCAATATTAATATAATATCATGCATGTCCGTAAATATGATTTTGCTACATTGCTATGTTTTGTGAATGTTATGTAAATTCTTTATTTATAATGATGTTTTGTTTTTAATCAAGAAAGAACATGTTGAAGCGCAGCCTTACTGCCTTCTTCTGGTCACCGCTCAGGAGAGGGAGAGCAGTAAGGGCCTTGGAGAACGCAGCTCTAGATGAAGCATAGAATGGCTTGAGCTTCTGATACCCTTCACTGCAGTCACCCACTGCTAACTGTTACAGGAGACATGCAGCTGCTGGGTATCAGCTGCTGCTAGAAACAGCCCCTTACCTATGGTTGGCCACCGGAGATGCTACTATCCCGTTGGATAACCTCAGGACCTTATTTCAAAGTACGCTGGTAACATTTGCCACCAAAAAAGAGGCAGTCAGTAACCAAGAGTACTGGTTTGTCATCTTTACCTTCCACTTGGGACTGAACCTAAACACCAGATCAGAGGGCTGCTAAACCCCACGCACCCAACTCAGCCCCATCTTATTTATAC